CTCGGCACAGAGGGGTTCAACCCACGAACCAAATTCAATCTACGTTGACCGACCCCCAAGCCATTCTGCCATCTTCTGACCATCTCTCAACCTGACAATTGCACCGTTGAAGTCACGCCACTTTTACCGCGTCACCGTACCGCATAGACCAGGGGGTCGGCAACTTGCGGCTCAGGTGGCCCTTTACGGCTCTTAAAGGATCTGTTTCGTGACGTCGCTTAATAAGAAGTCACCCTATCATATCCACCACAGTGCATTGTGGCTCTTCAAATACTTTTTTTTACCGAATTAGAAAATAAATTGCTCTTCTTGTTATGTTGGTTGTCGATCCCTGGTCTCGAGGCTATAAACTCTCTCGACCAGCAACTTCCTCAGTCGGCAGTCTCAAACCATGCCAGCAAACAGTGCTGGAAGATAAGGCTACAGAACAAGTCGCCCTCTGTCACCGAACGCCAGAAAACGCAGCTCATTCATTAGCCGTGAGAGAGTCGTTCGGAGGATGAGCAGCACACAAAGGTGTGCATTGCATGTTCAAAACCTTATCTTCGCCACCAGCTCAAAATAACCGAATATGTAAGCGCTATTTTACCTTTTAGAGTTTAAACCACCGACACAAATAGTTGAGAAAATGTGGCCATCCCATGTTAAATCGATTTTCTATCTGCTTTCTAGCTTGCACTATTTTTGTTTCTGTTGTGACGGAGTTTCCCGTAATTTTCAGATTTCAATTGTTGAAGTGGTTCATCATCACATATTTGAACCATCCGATGTATGTTAAATTTATTTCGCACCCTAAGTGGCCAACTTCGCGCTATTCGGAGATGTCCAATTTGCTTGTATAGTTATTAATATAAAATTACGTGGTAAGCTTAATTTATACAATTACAGTATTCTCTTATTATCCGTTAACTTGGTATCCGCGATTTTGGCTATCCGCGAATCGCATCTGGAACTCTACACGACTGCTTCGACAGAGAGAGAAAGATGGTGATTAGATAAAGTGATGAGAGAGAATGTGATGAGATCAAGTGACGTGTTTATTGAAGGTTATTCAGATAAACACCGCTGATATTAGCTGTATTCGGGAATCTAACTACGATGATTGGGTTCTGAGCTAACCACACAAACACCAGCTACTCATTTGCGGCTGAGTCGACCTAGGGAAGGCCCAGGACCAGCTCAGATATTAGTCACCTCTCAGCCAAATTCGTAGCGCAGCGCACTAACACCCACGCTACCGCTGCCCCACCAAGGCCAAACACACAACACCCCATTTACACAACACTGCTGCCACCTGCAGTGTTGTAGCTGATGATGCAGCCTATGCGGTCTCGTACTGCACAGCAACGGCACTCTGTCACGCATTCGAGCTGCAGGATTTGTCAACCACAAGACCCCCCCATCCCTCGGCACTGCTTTGGAAGAACTTGAGGTGTGACGCTGCGGTGAACATTTACCCGCCTATAATGGACATCTGCGCAAAAAAGAGCTTCACAGCTCATCGGATTCCTCCAGTCTCAATAACGTTTCGGATTCCACAACACGAAGAGAATTGATCGACGGGAAGAGTGAAGAGAGCGTACATATGACGCAAATCATTATTTAGTATTGTATTATATATTTTGCGAACTGACAGGACTGGTATCTTAAAGAGAGGGCGCTTTGCCTATTAATATCTGCCAGTTCACCAGCATTGCCTACAGCATCCCTGGGCTCGCTGATGAGGATTATGCTGAATGTCGAAACCGGTCCAGAGATTGTTTCCCAGCAGCATTTGCTGGACAAGTGTTCTGATTACAAACACCCAATTGACCTGACCAACCTGGACATCCATTGGTTGGGGTGCAGAGGTGACCTGATTTTAACTACCTCGCCTGGTATACAGGAGGCCATGGGTTTGATCCCGACTCTGACGCCTGTATATTTGGAGTTTTCAAGTTCTCCCCGTGGCCGCGGAAATGTTTTCACCGGGTTTCTCCCAGTTTTTCCCTCGACATTGAGAATCAACATCACGCATTTAGAGTATTTGGCTGCAATACATTTCCACACGACAAGCCACTTCGTTGAGCTGTCAATTGTGGCCAGGTCGCTTTTGAAAATGAGCTACATAGCTCAGTGGACCTTACCTGGTAAAATAAAAAGTTTAGTTGAGTAGATCAGGTAATGACAATATAAATATCACGTTATTAATTCAAGCTTTACTGAAACTGAGGATGACTTTTGAAGTGTCTTCAATCGGAACGTTGGGACAATTCCTTATGGCATGAGAGGACACTGGAGAACCTGGATAATATGGAAAGAAATGGATGGGCACTAAAACACGTGTGCACATACAGGACAATAGTAACCGACATGTACTTACAATAAAACTCATCACATTCGTCAAAATCAGTGGCCTTAAAATTAACCGTATAACAGGCAACGTTTGAGGCAATGGCTGTTAATAGTCAACAATTTCAGGCAACGCCTCTTCTTCATAGCAAATGTTGCTGTGTTGTCCAAAACGCACCTATTATATTTATTTTTCATTTTATGGCAACGTTATTGACGAATGTTGAGTTTTTGTGTTGATGTACAACAACCGACTCACTTTCGTGTCTTCATAGGGTACCGCCAATCACATATCCATGACGGATTTTAGGGCCGATCGTTGCTTTCAAACATTTAAAAATCACGAGGAATTTCAAGAGCAGGGCCCAGTAGAAATAAAGCCGATCGGTTCTAAACGAGATCTTCCTCACTACGCCAATAAATTGCGTGATGCATGTGACGTCATCACGCAGACGTGCGCGGTGACATCACCCGCAACTGCCATAGCAACTTTTTTCGAAAACAGTATACTGGTAAACGGTAGCAGGAATTGTCCGATTTCAGCATAATTCTTCACAAGAAGCCAAGTACTTGATCAATTCAACAGAGATCATATCTTTTTAAGTATTCTTGGTTCTTTCGGTAAAGTCATCACGTAGAAGGGAAACAATAAAATAATAAAAATATAAAACAATAAAATTCTCACGATGTTTCGACTGCAACACAAGCAATCATCATCAGGTGTGAAAACCACAGCAAGAAAATTTGAAGTGGCGGTTTTTTTAACGTTAGCACCACGGAGAGCGATTTGGCAGTTTGTTCAGATGGACGAGTCCATCTATGTTCGGGAAAAGAGAGGGGAGACGAAAAATAATGGATGCGGTCTGAAAGCCACCGTAAGCGTGAACAATCAATTAAGACGCGAAATGGTCTTTGAAGTATTTAGCATGAGACTTAAAGCAACTTGAAACTTGAAGCTGACCCTTCCCTATGAATAAACCCAATAAATCTTAATGCTGTAACATTTGGGTTGCTCATTATAAGCAAAGTTTGTGCCAAATTTCAGTTTTCAGGCTCTTTCAGAACACCATTAGAATTTACTTCAGTCAGTTACAATCCTCAGTATTAGATACATTCTACTGTTTTCGTCTATATTCCTGATCCAGGTTATGCCCTGAAGTAATTTCAACATCCTCAATTTTATGCAATTGTAAATTCATGTATTAAAGAGCGGGGGCAATGATGAGAATTGTATTCATGCTGACCAAGTTGAAGCTGTGAATCATAAAACTGAAACTATAAAAAAAATATTGTATTTTATCAGGTAAGGTCCACTGAACTATGTAGCTCTTTCTCAAAAGCTACCTGGCCACAAATGATAAACTCAACGAAGCGGCTTATCATGTGGAAATTTATAACGGCCTAATACTCAAAACGCATGTCCCTGAATTTGGAGGGAAAACCGGAGGACCCGGAAAAAAAATCCACGCGACCACGGGGAGAGAGACACACAACCTCCAAATATACAGCAGGCGTTAGGGTCGGGATCCAACACACGGCCTGCTGCATATCAGGAGTTAACATTTCGACACCACGGCATCCCACGACCAAGGACGTGCCACACTCCCTGACCCTATCAGCCGCAAACCGAAAAATCTTCATCGGGGCAGAGATTCACAGGCCACACACGTCACGTTCTCACACAGCCCTCGTCGGCCGTGGTAGTTTTGAATTCAGAAGTCCGTGGCGAGGGCCCTGGGAGTGCTCACATGCCGCTCTGCTGCCAGGGGGCGAGGGCGAGTGCCCCGAGCCGCTCCCACTTCCGTAGAGTCCCGTAAAGTTTGTAAGTGGAGTAACATTGAAAACGCTGCAAATTCGCTCCGTGGAGCTGCACTTGGATTTCCCAGGAGGCCGCATGCAATTCTGGAGCTGCAGTTTGGGCAGCACCAGAGGACAAAAACGGAACAAAAAAATCGATTCTTGAATGACTATGTCACCTCGTATGTATGGGGCCTATGTTGTGGCTGTGATGGTGCCAATAGTGCCACAGCCGTACCATGAATTGTGAACGTATTTATCAATTTACTGAAAGAGCAGTGTCGGGCTGAGCTGATGTGTCCGTGCAAAAATCATCACGTTGTCTCAGTGGATTGTGGGTAATGGAAGGGTTTCGTCGCTGAAGCGAAATATTCTTCGGGGCCACGGAGCAATGTGCCTGCCCACGGCATTTGCTTTTGCACTAAACCCTGGAATGGTTTCGACTTCCCCTAGTCTTCTCGGCAGTATGTGTATATGCTGAACTTCTTTCGCACCGTACGTAGCCAACCGTGCTAATAGGAGGTGCGGGGTAAGGGCAACAAACGAACACATAGCAGTTTTAAGTTAGTTTTCAATCTAGATATAAAAGTGCATAGCTTCAGTGGCTTAATCGTGACAATTCACCAATCTGTTGATTTAAAGCTTTCGTGACTGCAGTAATTAATATTCTTAGTTCTTTCGGTAAAGTCACGTTGAAGGGAAACAACAAAAGAAAGAACTAAGAATATAATTCACCAATCCTCTGGTTTGTAAATCATCACATGGCTCGTATTAGTAATCTGGCGAGTCAAAGGCTGTGGCTGTGCGAGAAATGTCAACTCTTTAGACTCAATTCACACTCGCACACCCACGCAAAACCACGCAAGAACCAACACAATGCGGCCCATTTATTATTATAGTTTAACGTAACAGTTTATTAATTAACAGACAACTTTACAATATACAAAGAGTTTTTCAATGCAAGGGACTTCTTTCAAAAATGTAAACGTTAGAAAAAACGCAACCGTGGTTTAAAGATGTGTTACGTTGAAGTGTGCGCGCACGTGCAGGTGCGCGCGGAAAATTGCACGTGCCATGTGTGACTGGAGGCGACTCGTGAAAGACTCTCCAGGGCAGTTTGGGTGCAAGTCGCCCTCAAACAATGCGTTGAAACACACAGCGCGTTTCGGTGTGCAAGTTCGCTATTTCACAATACGAGCGATGCCATTTATGCTGCGGGCAATTCAAAGGACGGAACTCGTGCAAGCATTGCTACAAATCTTTAATCGCTGCATGAGAGGCCAATGATGTTTCTCGAAAACTTGAGCCAAACATTCCACGCAGGACCCTCTGCAGAGAAAGAGGCCCTTGCGACTCGCAGAGGGCAGGTGCTTGGTTGTGCATTTAAACAAAACAAAACATCTATGCAGTACCAAAATATATGTAAGGCTCTATTCAGTTGCGATAGAAATTGGAGGGAACCCGAGTGTTCTAGGCCGAGTGTGCGTTCGCTACGACGAGGTGAAACTGCATAGCCGTGAGACATTGCGAGCGCTTTGCCTCGGACATGTCGCCAGTTAAATGCGCCTGAACGCATGGCTAGCTGAACACGACTACGGCGTGCCATACACATGGCAATCAAGACGCATGGATAGTTGGTCGTTACTATATTGTTGAGAATGGCCGTGTGTGTGCGTGTGATTGTCGGTTGTATTGTACAAGTACAGAGTTTGAGTATGGTACTCAGTTGACGTCGTTGTTATTATAATGCACTGGATATACAAAAGCAACAGGACTTCCAAGCATAGAGCTGTGAGTGCATATGCAATCCAGGTTTCACATTACCATCATCATTGTCATCCTCACTTGGTAACTAAAATGAGCACCGCTTAGTGAGTCTATACCACTGGATCCTGTGGAGTAAATGGTCCCCTGCCATAGGAACATGGGAGTTTCCACCACCTGCTACATCGCTTCAAAGTTGTCTTTACCACACATTACAACAGAAATTGTAGTTGCAGTCTTTTACGACTGCGACTAGATCGGGCTGCTGTGACTTATGTACTTCAATACACTTAAAGTATTGCTTATTACGAGCATGTCCTAAACATCTTCCACTGCAGCATGCATAGCAACCTGGCGTTGTCCCAAGGGAGACCGATTTTAACGTCAGATATAACAGTGCAGGTTCATTGCTGTGGCAGCGGCAGCATCACACAACCCCCCGGAATAACCGACCGGATCACTGATGTCCGGGGGATGAGCACAAGCTCCACCCCCCCCCCCCCCGTGCCACTGGCTGATCGGCGAGCGGTCCAGCTGGCTGATCGCTGAGCGGTCCAGCCGCAGAGCGGTCCAGCTGTCTGATCGCCGATTTAAGGGTAAAGGCGCAGGCAAAATTCCAATTGAAAGAGGGGCCCCGTTTGAAGATCCCTTGAAGGCAGAGGGGCCGGATGTGTGTAGAGGTCCACGGAGGTTGAAAAGGGTCGAGAAGGGGGTCCCAAAAAGCACAACGGATGGGCTAGGGAAAACTCAGTGGAGCTTTTTTGAATCTCGTTCGCTACGAGCACATGTCACTGTGTTACCGGAATAAATAAAGCCCTTCCACCAGTATATCTCCTGGACTCCTTTCCAAAAAGTATCGATGTGCACTTATTTAAGAAAAGCGTGCATGTGCCTGTGTGCACGTGTGTTCGTGCGTGTTTCAACGGAGCACGTGGACTGCACGCGGACACGGAACGCGCTGCGTCTTCTGCTACCAAATGTGAGATTCACACTGCGTCATTTTAACCACTCCAACCCCTCCTCCAAGGCGGCGGTAGTTCATGCCTCCATACAACCTGAAACGCAACACCAGCATCACCACCGTGAGCATCAATGCTGTTGTTAACCTCGCCATAATTAGCACCACCGTCATCACAACACCCGCGATAATCAACACCCACATGAGCAACACTACCTTTAGAAACATCATCAGTGCCTTCAGGATCACACTCATTCAAGTACAGCCCTTTTGTAAAATCCACTGCTGGATGAAAGCCTCTGCACAAGGGCCATTTTACCAGACTTCGCCGAGTTTGTCAGCGTGGGTTGACGGCAGGTAGAAGAGACATGGGAGCATATAATACAGTACAACAATGGATGCTGCTGCACTGCCCTCTGCTGCCCACTGCAAATGGGTGATCACCTACTTTGCATAGTGGTCACCCATTCAAGCACTATCCAGTCTCACACTTGCTCAGCTTCCAAGATCTGATTAAAGCGGGCACTTTTCACGTGATTTGGCCAAAGGCGACGTCAAAATAGCCATCGAGCAAAGACGGTGATTACCACGTCGCGCGCTTTCAGATCGCGCTTCTGCTGTCATCTGGAACGCCTTTCCTTCCGACATTAGGAAGCCACTGGAGCTATGAACGTTTAAATCCAGATTTGAGAACTCATTTCTCTCGAACTGCTTTTTAGGTTTTAGCTCGTTGTCCTTCCGCCGGTTGGCTACGTACGGTGCGAAAGAGGTTCAACGCACACATGTACAATCATACAAGATAATCAGAACAGATCTCATTAGCACCACCATACTCATCACCACAGCCAACGTTACATAAACAACGCCACCGGAACCAACAACTACCCACGCAGGCCCCCTGTCCCGAGCCTACCTCCACGTGTTGGCCTCTGCGTCGTAGACCTCGATGGTTTTGAGGTAGGTGGTTCCATCAAACCCTCCGACGGCCATGAGCTGTCCATTGACGACGGCTAGGCCCACCTGTACCCAACGTCATCATCACTATCATCACCACAATCTTATTTGACCACAGCAATATTGTTGCACGCACACCCTGCAGCATTTGTCGCTTTGACACTGAACGTTCGATATATAACAGCTCGGAGTAAAAAAAAAAACACACGTCCCAAGTTGTGTTTGCGCCAATAATAAATGTAGAAGAAAATAAGTGTTATGCCACTGCTCAATTGGCAGCTTGCCTGGAAGTTAACTGTGCTCTACAGCATACTGTGTGCGGAGCTGTAGTTTTTAAGATTGTAAGAAAACAGAGGTTCATGTTTCTGCGGCTGTGGCCACTCTGCTTAATACTATAGGTGCATGAAACAAAAAACACATTGATTGTAATCTGCTTCGCAGGAAACGTAAAACAATCATGTGACGTTGTTAGAAAAAGAGCAGGACATGCGTGCAGGTATCACGGGCCAGATTAGCCAAATTGTAATATTGCCCACAAATGACATAATGGGGTAAAATCAAATAGTAACATTGCCCCCTACCTGTACGCTATATCCGTGTGTTAAACATAGCGTCTTCGTGACAGCCTCGTGCTACAAGAATGGCACGAGCACCAAAAGCACTTTATTATTAATCATCATTCTGTTGTATAGTACTCGCTGGTTAAAATAAGCGGAACGAGCAATTGGACGGAAAGGCAAATGTATGGCTAGCGAGACAGAGGGAGGGACACATGGACAGAGGGATGGATGAATATATGGGCAAGAGACAAAGATTTCCCCGATAGCCTAAATAGACTTTTGGGGCAAGTGCTGTTAGCAAGCAGCTATAAAGGCCAACACACAGCACACGAAGGGGGTGGGTGGGTGGCAGGCACCAGCCTTCATCTCCCTAGTGGTGATGTTTACACACCACACCAGGTACTCGTGGAAGTACGGACCGAGGGGCACGACGTTCATTCGGCGGCACAGATGGATGGAACGTACCCCGCTCCGACGGGAGCTCATGGCGACGACCGGGCTCCACGTGTTTCCGCGGGGGCTGTAGCGCTCCGCCGAGCTCAGCTCGGTGGTGTCGTCGCGCCCACCCACCGCGTACAGGCAGTCCTGGTAAACAGCGCAGCCCAGGTGCTTGCGCCGAGTGCCCATTGGCGGCACCGGCGCCCACCGGTTATCGGCGGGGCTGTATCGCTCCACTGCGCGCACACGCGCACACACGGCCATGCGTAATGTACCTTCACGGGCTCTTGGATGGGGCGACACCAAAGGAAACAATGAACGCCAACAACTGAAAAAGTGTGCAAAGAGCCAAATGTGGCCCTGGTGAAGTGGGGTAGGATTCGTGGGAAGGGCGAGTGCTAGTGGCCGATTGGCTAGATGTGGCAGTGTTTGGTGGGCAAGTGCTCCCCCTTCAAACCCCATGCTCTAACTCCCCAGTGAAATGTTTGCTTTTGCAGTTTTTGTCCCAACTTTCGTGGTGTTTGTGGCATGGCACTGACCTTGACCCAAAAGCCACAGAGGATACCCAATGCTCAAGTGAGCATTGGGTGGCGCTCATCACCATTGGCAGTCTCTGGGCCAAAGGTGAACATTCTACATCCTACAGAAATGGCCAACTATTTTGTCACGTGTCAAATGCTTTCACTCCATATTTACCGGTGTAGGCACACTTGTGGCACCACGGTGGCAAGATGTTAACTACCTCGCATGGTATACAGGAGGTCGTGGAATCGAACCCAACCCTGACGCCTGTATATCTTGGAGTTTGCACATCTCTCTCTCTCCGTGGTCATGTGGGTTTTACTCTGCGTCCTCCGGTTTTTCCCTCCACATTTACAAAACATGCCTTTTAGAGTATTTGGGCTGTTATGAATATCCACATAAACCAATTCGTTGAGCTATCATTTTAGGCCAGGTCTCTTCTGACCAAGAGCTATGGAGCCCAGTGGGCCTTAACTGGTAAAATTAAATTTTGATTTAAAGCTTTCGTGACTGCAGTGATTCATATTCTTGGTTCTTTCGGTAAAGTCACGTTGAAGGGCTTCTTGCCGTTGTTTTTTGTTCACACCTGATGATGACTGTTTGTGTTACAGTCGAAACGTCGTGAGAATTTTATTGTTTTATATATATATTGTATTCTTTTATTGTGACTTTACCGAAAGAACCAAGGATATGGTAAAATTAAGTTAATAGTTTAAAAACAAATGAAGCCATGGAAATTGGTAAATGTCAATGTGCTTTTTCTAACCCCTGCGTGGGGCCAATTTTGCCCCACGTATCTGGCAAAACAAGGACTGCTTGGGCATGCTGTGCCATGGCATGAGAACTACATGAATCATCACCTGCAAGACGGGTCCACTAATGTTACACTTTCCAGCTTGTTACATGCAGATCCTCCATATAGCCATGCACACCACAGTTGGGGAAAGTCCTGTTAGCTGTTAACGAGCACTATGTTATTACTGCTGTTGTCAAGCACGCATTGGGTGTAGCCAGCCCCACAATGGATGCCTTTGTCCCACCAGTGCCGATGCTTTTACACACTGCACCAGGCACTCATTTACAGCTGAGACTGGTTCAGATAATCGCCACTGATGTTAGCCGTGGCTGGGAATCGAACCCAGTTTGCAGGAATTTTAGAATAGAGCGCCAACCACTACACCACCGCCCACACTCAAATACTGAAGCACACACAGATACACACAAGGATACATGACAAAGATCCCCCATATGGCCTTAACAGACTGTAGGGGCAAGTGTTGTTAGCGAGCACCTATGAAGGCCGGCACGGCACACGAGGCGGTGGGTGGCCAGCACCACGCCCGACCGCCTTTGTCTCCCCAGTGGCGATGTTTACACACCGCACCAGGCACTCATTTGAGGCTGAGTCGACCTAGGGGAGACCCAGGACCGGTTCAGATAATCGCCACTGGTGTTGGCCGTGAGCGGGAATCGAACTCGTGGAGTAGCACACTAACAGCTAAGCTACCGCTCCCCACACAACATACATGCCATGCGCACACACACACACGGCAACACTCAGCATTGGCTGTGCGAGCCAGATGGGCACGAGAGAGAGACCAGTGTTGAGAGGCGATGTCCCGTCTGAGCCCCCGACTGCATACAGGTGTCCCCCGAGCACAGCCACCGCCACCCCGAGTCTCCGCGTGCTCATAGATGCTACCCGGCTCCACTTGTTCTCCTTGGGGTCATATCTAATGATGAGCGCGCACACACAGAGATTCACACACGCACAGGGAGATCAGATCAACACACACACAGAAACATCTGCCCCGTATAGTCTTATCAGACTGTTGGGGCAAGTGCTGTTAAGCGAGCAGCACCTATGAAAGTCGGCGCGGCGCACGAGGCGGTGGGTGGCCAGCACCACACTCGGCCGCCTTTGTCTCCCGAGTGGTGATATTTACATATCTCTCCAGCTACTCATTTGAGTCTCAGTCGACCTCGGGAATCGAACTCGGGTCGCCGGGAGCTGAACGCAGCGGCGTGCGAACCGCTCCACAAACGCACGCACCGCTCCACAAACGCACGCATGCGCGCGCATTCACGAGTACGCACCTCTCCACAATGTTTAGGCAGCTCACTCCGTCCTGCCCGCCGACGGCGTACAGGAATCCGGCGAGCACAGCCACGCCGACGCTGGTGCGGCACGTGCTGGTGGGCGCCACGTCGCTGCTCCACTGGTTCGTTTTGGGGTCGTACCTGCGCGAGAGCAGCTCCACCGATTGGACAATCACACCGTCAGGTTTCACTGGGTACACCCACAGTCGATCGGCAGGCCGCGTGCGGGAAGGCACACGGCGTGGGTGTTCGCCCACCGATTCCTATTGTTAACTTAGAAAGCAATCAAACATTTTGCCCCAGCCTACATCATTAACACGCTGGGGATGCAGATCTTCTCTAAATCCCCAGGTCGAGTCTGTGGGTGACCGAGATTCTTCCCGTGTAGCCCCCAGGCTATGGAACGCTCTTCCAAGAGATATCATGATCTCCGAGTCTGTAGACATTTTTAAAATGCGTCTTAAAACCTATTTATATACGCCTCCACTTATTACACTTTTAGTTCATTTAGTAAATGGATTCTTAACATTTATTTATAATAAAAATGTTATGCCGAGTATATGCTGCTGCTGTGTCCTGTACAGCACTTTGAGATCCTTGATGAAAAGCACTATATAAATGGCATTAATATTATTTTGCACTATACATTAAAACCTTGGATTGTGAGCATAATTCGTTCCGGAAACGTGTTTGTAATCCAAAGCACTCGTATATCAGATGTGATCACGTGACACTCGGCAGTACAAAGCGTATACGTACTACTCGTATTACAAGACCTCGCTCGTTTATCAAATTAATATTTATTTAACATTTATGCTCGTCTTGCAAAACACTCGCAGACCAAGTTACTCGCAATCCAAGGTTTTACTGTACTCAAGTGCATTCTACTGTACTCCTAGAAGGCAGCGATGGGAGACGAGGATGGAGCTGCTGCACTTCCAATCTGGGTATTAGTGATGCCCTCAGTCTAAATTTCCGTAAAGTTTCTCTTCGGTGGCGCCTGAGACTCTTTCCTGGTCTCATTGACTGGCTAAACGCACTTTAATGGCATTCGATCACAAATCGTGATAATCGAATCGCGGGCGGTGGGGGTCTGGTTGGCTCAGCGCGTGCGTCGCTCTCATTGGCTGAGCAAGTAAAGGGAGCGGGTACGTTTCCTTGGCCGGCGATGCCGCGTGTTCTCACTTCTAAGCGCTATTTAGATAGACATTTTTTTTCGTAAAATGTTCTCCAGGACCAAGAGCACTATAACGAATCAACGTTCTACGTTGTCACGCTATGCGAGGCCCGCCTGTAATTGTTGACGTTTCGGGGAACGGCCCTTCTTCATAGCACGTGCGTTGAAGGAAATGTATACAATGGCGAAAACTAAACTAAACTATAGACTTTATTTTTCTCTAGATAAGACCAACTGAGCTATGTAGCTCTTTTTCAGAAGTGACCTGGGCACAAGTGGATAGCTCAACCAAGTGGCTTATCACGTGGAAATTCATCGCAGCCAAATACTCCGAACGCGTGTTTCTAAATGTGGAGGGAAAAACTGGAGGACCCGGAGTAAAAATCCACGTGGCCAAAAGGAGAACATGCAAACTCCAAATATACAGGTGTCACAGGGTGAGGATTGAACCCATGAGTTCCTGTATACCAGGCAAGGTAGTTAACATCTTGCCAGCGTGGCACCATAATTGCTATGAAAAAGGCACATTGCCAGAAACGTTGCCTATTACGCATGTATACTTTTAAGGCCAGAGTGTTATTGACGAACGTGTTAAGTTTCCTTGCTGTGCTTGTGCACCACTGTCAATGCTGCAGCTCCACCAAATAATTTATGAACAAGTTAGTTTGTCCGAGTACGTCTGATCCCGTGGCATTCTGAGCATTTATCTAGTACCAAAAACAGTGGACAAATTATGTGTAATGTGAATTAAGATTCCTAATTAGTTGATATACTTATAACCAAGTGAAAAGCCACTGAATGATTTATACTAATAATTATCCACATCGTTAAAGTGTCTGCCATGTACGTCCGGAATCGTCTAAATTGTGGAAATGCCCGTGCACATGTGCATGCATGGATTAGTATGCACAAGTGCAAGCTCATGTGAGAAGAGCCGCAGGTGGAGGTGTGTGGAATAGACTTATGTTGCATGCCCGTGGCCAAGTCTGTGTTTTATGTGTATCGCACATGTAGAGCAATGGCAAAACTGGAGAAAACATCACAATCAAAAGCAGCAGTTCACTATTTCAGGTCTGTACACGAGTGCTGTGGGTCAGCCTTCACATACACAGCAGCACACAATCACTCATTAGCAAAGCAGCACTCGCACAACAGTACACTGTCAATCATACATCATCCACTCATTCACAGCAGCACTCACTCACATGCAGCAGCACTCAGCTACTCACAAACTCATGAAGCAACCTTTACTCAGCGTGGCTGCGTACGCAAGGATAAGATCGCCTGCCGGCGTCTCATGGAGACCTCCACGCCCTGAGGGGTCCGCGCATTACGATCATACATCACTCACCATAGCACTCACACGTGCGTCCCTCAAGCACTCACTCATCCACTAAAGATCCCCAGTGTGGCCTTAACAGACTGTTGGGGCAAGCGCTCCAAGCGAGCACCTATGAAGGTTGGCACGGCACACAAGGGGGTGGGTGGCCAGCACCACGCCTGGCCGCCTTTGTCCACCGAGTGGCGATGTTTACACACCACACCACATACCCATTTGAGGCTGAGCATACCTAGGGGACGCCCACAACCGGTTCAGATAATCATCACTGGTGTTGGCCGTGAGCGGGAAACGAACTCGGGTCACCGGGTTCGTAGCGCGGCCCGCTAACCGCCACCGCTCCCCACAGAGGCACTCGCTCATACGTCCCTCAATCGCCCCCGCTGACGCGCACCGCTCGCTCGCACGCACCGCTCCACACTGTTGAGGTAGGAGGATCCATCGTGGCCGCCCACGGCATAGAGGAGGTCATCGAGCACGGCCACCCCCACGCCGCAGCGCCGCTTACTCATGGAGGCCACCATGCGCCACTCATTGGTCTGCGGGTCGTAGCGCTCCACGCTGGAGATGGCGTCGCCGCTGCACCAGCCACCCACTGCACCGTGATGGACAGGGAGAAAAGATCCCCTTATAGCCTTAACAGACTGTGGAGGTAATTTCTGTTAGCAAGCACCTATTAAACTAAACAAATTATTTAAATGTTAACCTGCTAAGGCCCACTAAGCTGACTAGGTCTTTTTCAAAAGCGACCTGGCCACAAATGATAGCTCAAAGTGGCTAATCATGTGGAAATTCATGGCAGTCAAATATTCTAAACACATGTTTCTAAATGTGCAGGGGGAAAAAACTGGAGGACCTGGAGAAAAAATCCACACCACCACGGGGGAGAGACACATGCAAACTCTGAATATACGGTGGGCATCATGGTCGGGATCGAACCCACGACCTCCTGCACCTGCGCACAGCCCATAACAGCTCACCTGCGAAGAGCACCTCCCCGCAGCGGATGGGCTTGCGGGGTTTCGTGCGGGGGCCCTGCATGAGCGGTCTCTCTTGGGGCAGAAGCAAATAGTTCTTGGCTTCATCCACGAGGTCTCTTGAGCGGCGAACAAGGGAAAAACAACAAAACATTAATGCACGCAGCGCACGGCACAAAAAAAACGAGGGATGGTGCAGGGGGAGGAGGATAATACAAGAATCCCCTGCGATACGTAAGGGATGCGTTGCTGGGAAATGCCACTTAACTCAAAATTACTTAAAGCGAGCTCTAAGTTCCTGTAAACATAATGTTAAAATTAGGGGTTGCGTTGCTAGTCGACATTTCTGGAAAATGCGTGACCAAATGTCATTAAGTGTACAAAAATGTATATGATTATAAGTGAACATACGTTTTAAATAAGAATACAAATAATACTAAAAAGACTTAATACCAGAGATGGTTTAAGAGCTTGCTGATTGAGGCCTCTTGGGGATTTCTGGTGGTACGTGCTATGCATGTACAGCTCGGTATTGCATCGCAAAAGTCCGCTTTCTCCCTCGTTCATTCGTGTTTCGCATATACATTCCTTTTAAAAATCGTGCAAAGAAAATTTGCACAATTATTAAACTAGGAACGCAATTGCGCAAAAACTAATTTGCAATTTTTTTTCCAGAAAGCATAAGAAAAACATTACACTTGTGTGATGAAATATTTCTTAACTAGGGGTTGTTCAAGGGCGCCTATGGCGCCCCTTACAACCATTTACGGCCTTAGGCCACGAAAATCACAAAAAAAGTTGAACACGAACGACGCATTCACGCAAGCACCCGATGCTCCGTTTTGAAGTTTTAAAATGAAACATCTTTGAATTGTATTATGTTTAGAACTAGATAATTGTATTTCTTCATTAAAAGCTTATATCATTTTACATCTGGAAGACTTAATTGAAAACGACATTCCGTGTGAATTTTCCCTCGTCGTTAAGTAGATGGCCTTGCTGGGGGTTCGGTTCGATGCGGACTTTCACCTGTTTGGGATTGCGGGATCGAGTTAAGGCGACATAGAGCTGCTGGCCGTGTGAGAAGACCGCCGTCTGCAGATCGATTCCAACGTAATCGAACGTCTGTCCCTGCGCCTCCGTCGTTCATGCAGGGGGCGCGTAGGTTTGCAGCGCCCCCTGCATGAAGACGATGGAAAGTGCAGCGTTCATCACAGAAAGTTGCGCGCTTATATAAGAGTATTAATCAGAAACGTATATGCAAAACAATGCACAATGCGGAAACTTATCGCGGGGGATTTCCTGTACCTTTGTCATGATTCGTGTGGGTCACCACAATCTTCTAATGTCAAACCGAGCCATAATTAACACTGTAAAAGTCCCATATTGCCAGTCAAGGCTCAGCCCAAGCTTGGCTCTGGTTCAAGTAGGCCATGGCTCAAATCCATGTGCTTCATTTGAGCCGGCCTTGGAGCACGATCCCAGCCATGCTCAAGATTTTCTCCTGCGCCAAGCCATGGATGATGAGCCGCTAACGCGTCTCTGGAAGCAACTCAGCAGTACACGCCTGAACTGAGCCATGTTAAGCCAGGGCTGAGCTGAGACTAAGAATATGACCCGAAGAAGTCTACAGCCATGCCTCACACTGGTCTATCCAAGCTAGGGGAATGGATAACCCAGAATTATAATAGAAGTGGGTGGAATGTGTAGTTGATTTTTGTTGAAATTATAAGTTATTTTTTTCATTTCATCGTTCAAGCTGGCTTGCATTCTTTGGGAAATATTCCCTTCTTGGTCAAAAAATGTAGATCATTCTTGTCAGCAGCAGGAAAACAAACCTGTTATATTGAATTAACAGTATCATTGTGAGTGTACATGTTCGCAGGAGTGTCAAATTTATGCATCTACGTTCTTGACTCGCCTAGTTATTTTAAGTAGTACCATTGCGAAGGTGTAATTAAAGGATATTCAAGTATTACATCAAATTCCGGGGTCCACTCAGCCTATCTTTCCTCCAGCATGGATACAGCACGTACCGTTTTGTGAGATGTCAACAGTGGTGATCCCATGCAGAGATTGGCATGTACAATAGACCGACCCCAACTGGACGTCTGTTAAAAAGAGCGTCAAAGCTCATTGGATTCCTCCAGTCTAAATAAAGATTCTGATTCCGAATGTGATATCTCGACTACAGGCTCTGCCTTCAAACGAGGTGAGCTCAAGCCCCATTGCTCACTTGATCAAGGATTCTGACTTGCGGAAAATGTCACGAAGAAGTCACGGCAGGGACCGCCGGAACAATACATCACCTTCCTGAGCCAAGGTGACGGTTTTTACGTTCACAGAAAATGTATTCCAACATTCGTGATTTTCTGCGAATCCTGTTCAGCTGATGACGCGGAAATTGGCATGGCGGCCTCCCGTGAGTTTCACGGAACACAAGCACCACTCGTGACAGCGTGGCCGGCTACCTGCATGCCTCATCACTCTTCACCAGAAGGTCCGTCCCCACTGTGCCCACCAGGAACTTGGGTGTGAGCAGGGGCAGACGGACATGTTGCAGCACCTACACAAAGACAAAGATCCCCCGTATAGCCTTTAACAGACTGTTCGAGCAAGTGCTATCATGGGGACCTTGTTGACCAGTATCAAAGTATTAAAAGTAAGAATGTTTTACCCTTTCTGGCAATAAAACAGGTGTTAAGATGTTCAAACACCAAATAGAGTCATTTTGCATTAACTACACGTATCTGTGGTTAATGGAGACTTGATTCCTTGCAAAAGGTGTCTATTTGGTGTTTGAACATCTTAACACCTAAATTTTGATTTAAAGCTTTCGTGACTGCAGGGATTCATATTCTTGGTTCTTTCGGTAAAGTCACGTAGAAGGGAAACAATAAAACAAAACAAATATAAAACAATACGATTTAATTATTTTATATTTAGTTTTATTGCTAGAAACGGTAAAACCTATTCTTATTTTTCACTGAGCAAATGCTGTTCGCGAGCACCCTATTGAAGGCTGGCACGGCACACGAGGGGGTTGGTGGCCAACGCGACACCCGGTGCCTTTGCCTCCCGAGTGGTGATGTTTACAAACTGCACCAGGTACTCGTTTGAGGCTGAGTCGACATAGGGGAGGCCCAGCGTGATAACCGTTACACTAATGCACACAGACGCACACACACACACACGGAGAACAAGACCCCTCGCTTAACCTTATACGGCAATAACAAAAGTACAGCATCTTGAGATGCAGCTGCATTTAGATGCTATACAGATATACATTGTATGGTTTCATTGGATTGCATCATTGCCTGCTAGAGAGATCCACTGACGGGACTTTGTCCAGATTGATACACCCATACACAAACAAGACACAGGCCTTCCTAACGACAAACCGGCTGCTTAGGCACATGTGTGGAGCTTATTATTTTGGCATCACACATACCCATACACCTGTGCAACCCAAGAATTGATAATACAAACACTGGATGCTCATCTTCTTTGGTTCTTTTGGCAAAGTCACGTAGAATGAGAATAAAATAAAAAATTGATAAAATAAAATAACAATAATATTCTCACGACGTTTCGGCCACAACACAAGCGGCCTACGTGACTTTACCGAAAGAACCAAAGAAGATTAATCCTTGCAGTCACGAAAGCTTTAAATCGAAACTGGATACTCATTTTAGGTAGAGTTCACCAAGAGGAGACGGGCTATAATCAAGTACCATGCGCCCCATGTGTGTGGCTAGGAATTCAGGCTGGGATGCTGTGATTGCGTCAGTGCGTTTTCAGAAAACTATTTCACTGCTATCTATGCTGTAATAAATGTTCAACAAGACGAATAGTCACACACTGTTGACACGATTAAAGCACACACGAGATTTGGGTGGTGCTCATCAATGTTGGTGGGGCCCCGAGCCAGTGGTGGAAGTTTTGTCGTCGTGCAGCCACTGTTTCCTATTGCCATCAGCAAGAGGAGCGATATAGTTACTGCTACTATGTGTGCTTTATGCGCTTTTATGTTGTCAAGCATGCGCGCCACGCTCAACTAAGTGGGGATGTACTGAATAATTGATTAAAAAATTGGTTCTTACGTTCACAATAAAAGTATCAAATTTAGTTTCAGGAAGAAGTGATTACTTGATTGATTGACTGAGGGACGACCAAGCTACGTATAACAGATTGTTATCGGGTGATATGGTGCTACGATACCAGCAGATGGCAGTGCAGCAAGATCAACTGTTGTGCTAAACTGGTCAAACATCTCTGTGTTGCTTTATATGGTTTCCAAATTTTGCTAAACCCTGTCTGTTTGATATGCTTCTCTCTCTGTGTCTTCTGTTGTGTCTGTGTTAGTTCCCCCTACTTGGGTGTCTGTATATACATCTGGGGTTATGTGTTTCCCCTCTCTCGTAAATTTAGCTCTTCTATACCTGATGATGGCTGCTTGTGTTGCAACCGAAACGTCGTACGCTATGTTATTTTATAATTTCTTATTTATACGTGACTTTACCGAAAAAAAACACAAAGAGTAATTCCTGCAGTCACGAAAGCTTTCGCACCAAGTCTGGTCAAACATCTAATAATAGGGTTTTTCCACTTTTTTTCTGGCAACAAAACTCACCAATTGAGGCGAGGCTCAAAAGAAAGCCGTCTCTGGTGTGGACCAATCAGTTTCAAGGACAATGCATCATATTATCAGAGTGTTTTTTGTTTGCATTCTGACCACAAGTATTGTGGTTGATGTATACATGATTCCTCGTAAAAAAAGGTTTCAATTTTGTTGCCAGAAAAAAGGGGAAAAACCCTATTATTATATTTTGGTACTGGCAAAGGAGGTCTAATGATGGTCAAACATCTAGTCTCCACCTGAACTAACACGCACTGCTTAGCGTGGCAAAATCTGGTCGTGTCACCTCCACGACCTACACAGCATGGGGAGACTCTCAACCTGCAGTGGCTTTACATTAGGGGCGTACACGTTTCCTAGCGGAGGCCTAGGAAGGACGCAACCACCGATCAGCGGTTACGCAAGCGCGCACACCAGGCAGGCACCTGAGGGAGCTGTGGCCGGCGCTCCTGGATGTTGTATTTGACCCAGGCGATGACGGCGCTGTACACCTGCTCCTCGCTGCGCACGTTTAGCTCATCGCTGGATATGATGTCGATGAGCTGGTTGGCAGGAAGCAGCATGAACTCCTCACTCTCCATTACCTGCGAAGCCACAGATGCCCCGCTTCATATCAGCCTGGATTACTGGGCACAGTGTTATTAGGGAGCACCTATTGATAGCTGGGTGGTGGTGGTACATGCCTGTAATCCAGCGCCGTGGAGACGAGGGGTGGTGGATCACACAAATGTCATAACTTAATTCCCGTGGCTTCACCGACAGGATAAAGCGGTAAACCAAAGATGTGAACTCGGTCCGTTCCCTCTGTATAGGACAGTACTGTCGCCTCGCACATGTGGGTTTTCTCCAGGTGCTCCGGTTTCCTCTCACATATATCAGCACATTAAAACACCTTCGTGTATAGAGGACCACAAACATTTGACGCCGGCTCACCACCTGGCTGCTGCTGCCTTCCCGTTTGACTATAGTTCCTCCTAGCACACCTCCGAGTCATTCTCTCGCTCGTCTTCGAGAGCGAGTGGATACTGTGCGGCACATTGCGAGTTGAAATTGTTTATTGCACCGAAAACTGAAATTGTTGGAAGATTCATTACGCTTTGTGGAGATTAGTATAGTGCCTTGACAGCCACACGTGCTACTTGCAACACACACTTAATTGCATTACAAGTACCCTCAACTGCCCACGTAAGCATAACTTACATACATACAAAATTACACCCACACAATAAGTTACCAATACAATGAAAGTGAACGGCAATCTCTTTTGCACGTCACAATGAAAGTGGCGGAAGTATATTTTTTAAATGAATCCACAGCCAAATAAAACAAGAGCCTCTTACAGACACACTCCTTTGATAATAGGTTTTTCCCCTTTTTTTTGGCAACAAAACAGCTGTGTTAAGATGTTAAAACACCAAACTGAAACCTTTTACAAGGGATCATGGTCTGCATTAACCACAATGCTTGTGGTCAGAATGCAAAAAAATCTCTGATAATATATGCATTGTCCTCTGGTCAAAAACGCATCCTCTGGTCTAACACCGTTTGAGACGAGGCTCAAAAGAAAGCTGTCTCTGGTGTGGACCAATAAGTTTCAAGGACACAAGCATTGTGGTTAATGCAGACATGATTCCTTGAAAAAGGTTTCAGTTTGGTGTTTTAACATCTTAACACCTGTTTTGTTGCCAGAAAAAAAAGTGGAAAAATCTATTTACATATTTTGGTACTAGCAAAGGAGGTCCCATGATGTGACACACACTTAGGCTCTGTTCCAGGTTGTCCGAGATGAGTCTGCAACTTCATTGCGCAGAAGCAAAATACTTAAAAGTTACTTTAAGTCTTGTACTCTCGTGAACTAGTGATATCGTTGCAGCACGTTAATTGAGTTACATTAATGTGCTGCAATGATATCACTAGAACTTTTTGGCAGCACTTCGGAAAGTAAATTTTAAAAGCTCTATCATAACCAAAGATGTGTTGGACAGCCCAGCATACACAGGCTAGGTGCTTGCAAAAACACAACTCTGTCTCGGCTTGCATTTTCCTTTAATGTGGCTCAGATGATAAGAGCACTGAGGTGGCACTGTCTAGATCCTGGCTTTTGAATTAAGGCCTGTGATTAAAATGGGTTTTAATGTGTAGTGATTTGATAGTATCAGCCCAGTGACCAATGACTACACACACAAAAACCCAACAACGTTCTATTTAGTTCTGCTGTGTGTAGAGTGGGTTGTAAAAATGCTGTTTTTTATGGTGCAGATCATACGCCACAAAAGTAGCTCTGTGATACCCCGCCTCTGCAGGCTGTCCTTGAATATGGGAAGTTGTAGCACTGCACTGCGAGAGAAACCAACGAATACTTGGGGGCTCGTGACAAGACACCCTAAAGTACAACTGGCCCAAACATGCGCTGTGAGAGTGAATCTGCATTGACTTGGTGGCTGTGTCGTCTGGCACGTGTGTCTGCAGAGGGCCACCTCCTGGAAGTTGTGCTGCGTGAACTTGTCGGCGGTGCGCAGGAGGTCTCGGCACGCGTGCGTATCGGCAAAGGCGCGGATTCCCAGGCAGTTGGAGGGATCGAGCTGCCGCTTCAGGAACTCGCAGCAGGTGTCCTGTATCTCGGCCAGCTGAAGCAGGCAGGCGGCCGGCAGCAGGGCCTGCACGTTGCACTCCTCCACCGTGATCTGTGATCGCAGCAGCGCAGACTGCGTTAGAAGCAAGCGGTGTTCTGCTCAAATGCAAGAATAAGTGAGATTCTCATCTCGTTTTACGGACCTTCGCTGGTTGTGGAAATTCTGCTGTCCTGTGGTTCAGGGGTGAGCCAAACAGCTGCCGACTTTACACAAAGTGGTACTAATTTTATAGGCCCCAGCGGCAAGGTAAGCCGAGTAGAATTCCAACAGGGATATGAACTCACAAACTTCTTATTGGGTGTCACGCTCTCTAAGCACAGTGTGGCTTAGCCAAGTCAAAGTAAACCCCAAACAAATGTCATTTCCAGCTGTGATGGCATGCAGCTGTAATGAATATACACATATTTGATTAGCACGGTTGGCTATGTATGATGTGAAAAAAATTCAACATAATACAATATTTCGTCATGTACTGTAAATCTATCAACATAACCGATTATATTTTCCAGGGTCTCCCTTGCAAGAGATTAACTCATTATTGTCAAGTGTATATAACATTTTAAATTGACTATAGATTACATAATGTCATGTAAAATGTATTATGCACTGCCGAACATCTGCAAAACCAATTAAACCCATATTCTATGGGTCTTTCGGAAAAGCCACGTAGATAGAAAATAATACAAATATCACCACGTTTCGATCGCAACACAAACAATCGTCTTGAGGTGAGAGAGCTCTGATATACAGCTCTCTCTCACCTGAAGACGATTGCTTGTGTTGCGATCGAAACGTCATGATATTTTTATTATTTTTCTATCTACGTGGCTTTACCGAAAGACCCATAGAATATGTATTCCTGCAGTCACGAAGGCTTTAAGTCAAATTTTTATTTAAAGCTTTCGTGACTGCAGGAATTCATATTCTTGGTTCTTTCGGTAAAGTCACGTAGAAGGGAAACAATTAAATAATAAAAATATAAAACAATAAAATTATCACGACGTTTCGACTGCAACACAAGCAATCATCATCAGGTGTGAAAAACCACAGCAATATATTTTTTTTAAAGTGGCGTTTTTTTTAAACGTAAAAACACACCTTTTACTATATATTTATGAATCTACATATAATCGTGCATGTAGTGGGTGTTACAAATAAACCACTAAATACAATGTACTTACTGTATGTTATGTGTCGTGTACCATATAACACAGGAATTCCACGCTATACGTTGCATTGTTTTGCAAATTCGTCGTCGAACAATTTGGGAATAGAATTCCTTACGAGTGCGGAATAAAAATTGGCTTCATTTTTTTACTTGGGACGCACGTTGTGAAAACTGACGATTTTGCCGTGTTATACCACACGATACACGCATAGCGCGCACCACCGAGAATCCCTCCGCCACACGGCGGAAGCTGGACTCGACAACGTGGAGGAGTCGGTCATGGTGGCGTTGAGTCCCATGGTGAGGACCTGTCAAATGAGGATCTGATACAGCTTGAACAACAACAAGCGGAGGAAGAGGCCAATGAAATTATACCACCACCACGAATGTTAAAAAACTTATCAGGGCCTTTTATTAATTTGGAAGCAGCAATGGACATCTTCAGTGAGGATGATTCAAACCGCAAAACGTAGCTGTGCAGTTAACAGGATATTAACTAGTAGCATTCACAGCTACAAGCTGGTACCAGCAGAATAAGAAAATTCTGTGCATTTATCTTTCGACAGATGCTTTTTGAAATGTTCTTCCATCAGGCCAGAAGGTCTGGAGAAGAGCCTATGAAGAGAGACAGAGGCAGCTGGTCCTGCTCCTTCATCTGCATAACTCCACCACTGCTCACCACAAGAGGCCTCGATGAGAAAGCTTTTCAACTATCTCTGGTAAATTATAATTATTAGCATTTATTATTAGTTAAAATGAATGTCAGCTTACAATCATATGCATTTTGGTACACATTATGACAGCTATTTTTTTTATGTTGGCTAGGAACACAAACCCTGGTTTTAACATTATGTCTGTGGAATATGATAGTTCACTTTAAGTAATTTTGAGTAAAGTAGCATTTTCCTGTAACGCATCGTGGGGGATTCCTGTATTATACTCCTCGCACTCCACCCCTCCACCTAACCCCCCGCAACTCCTCCACCATCCCCTGTGTATCCAAGCACTATCCAGGCTCAACAACCCTGCTTTGCTTTTGACATCCCATAAGATCAGGCGCATCCCAGCTGATTTGGTCATACACAACTGACATTACCCTTTGCCTTAAACACTCAACACAAAGGTTGATGTCTTTCGCTCTCCTAAAGTGGATGAGAGTCCATTAATGGCCCAGCCTGCTAAAGCAACAACACTGTGTGCACGGCTGGTGGCATCACCTGTGCCGTGTAGGCAAAGTCAATGAGCAGCTCCATGGCCGTCTCGTCGACGTCACGGATGGACACCTCTGTCTGCCGCGACTCGGCCAGCTCGCCCGTGAACATGGCGTGGAAGTAGGGGGAGCACGCCGACAGCACCACTCGGTGCGCGTAAATCTTGCGGCTGCCCACCTGTCAAAGACAAACGGGTTGGTGGGGCGTGAATGTGCGATGCTATCACTGCGCCTCCTCTACTGGGAGGTGGGTCTGTGGGAGGCGAGAATGCTATTGCTTTTGTAAGATTATAGAGCACGGGGCAATGGCGAGATTTTTATTCACTGCAGAGCAGGGTGAAGCCATCAACTCGCTACGAGAGCTATATTGTGTTGCTAAAGCTGGTGGTGGTTCAAACTGTGGCGGTTGTGTGGGTGATGATGTTATAGAGATGGGGAAGAAAATATAATCTTGTGAAGGTGGTATTGGGGATTGCGACGGTCCGCTGGTGCTTGTGACGTTGACATTTGTGACGCTCGTGACAACGCTATTGGGGGTGGCGACGGTGTGTGATGATGGTATTGGTGACGGTGCTCGTGGCAACGTTCGCGTGCGTGTGCGAGCACGAACCGCCAGCACGACATCGCAGAGCTCGCGGTGTCGCCGGAGCACGCTGATGGCCTCCAGGGTGATGCGTGGATGCTTCTCGGACATGTAGACCATGCGCGCTGGTGTAGGCACGCCCTCGGGCAGGGCGTTGGGGTCCCCGCCGCCGCTCGGTCGGCTCGTCACGTCCATCGCTCGCAGCATTGCTGCGCACGCGCGCCAGCACAAGCCACAGTGGCAGCGAATACAAAGTCGAGGCGAGCTTCAGTCACAAGAATTAGCAGAGGCAAATTTTTGCTGAAACGGCCAAAACGCATCACCCTTCGTGACTTGCATCACTGCTTGCCGTGGAGATGTTGGCACGTTTTTTTTTCCAGAATTGTAACAAAAGGGGAAAAAAAACTGTCAACAAGCATTTAATGGTAGTCATCTTCATCGAGAGTCCTGAGCCTGTGATAGAAAATCTACACTCCCCTGGTGGGGACCATTCTATCCACTTTCATAAATACTTTATTCATATTATACAATTTCATTGGCAGGGGCCAGTCTCCCAATAAGACAAGCTGTATTGGCTTAAAAGTGGTAGTCATTATGAATGCAACAGAAAATGTTTCTCAAGTCCAACTCCAACTAGGTTAAACTGCAACTCCCAAGTGAATCTGAACTCGCAGCTTATGATTGAGTTGAGTGCTCTATAAACACTGCGCCGCTCAGCTATGATCATATCCTGTGCTGTTATCCTCTACAATCCAATACCCAACTTGGAGTTAACCGAGTATTATTTTAATTTGATTTGGGTTAGACGTTGACCAATCGCATAGTCATCATCCCTAAGGGGGGTCTATAAAATTTGTACCATTTATGAGTGAAACAAACAGTGGCCATTCTACAGAGACTGGTCTCTGCCATAGCTCTCTCCCCTGGCTCAGGATTACCAAAAGCACCAAAAACCATGTTAAGGTCCACTGAATTTATTTCCTTTTCACAGACAGTTGCCCAGACACCTCGCAGAAATAGTACTACTGTATAATATATTTCGCCTGGCTGAACAGGGAATAAGGTATTGACTTGACAGCACACGACTATTTCGTAATTATTTGCATGGGTAAATCCAACACTACGTCGTTGTTAGAATGCTCAATTGCTACTCGGTCGCTAAGCAGCAGTCCAACCGCATAGAAATTTGCCATCTTGGCATCTACTAGAGCCAAAACCGAGGCTTTCACAGTCACTCCTGGATTGTTATGACGCCACGTGCAGTGAAACATGGCAAAGGTTTTGTGACAAGCAGACAGTGCAGGCAAGTGAAGCATGTGATTTAATCAATAATGCTTGTGGTAGGGTGCTGTTGGCACACCTGTGGAGGAAATTGTTCATCGGTACACAGTCTGTTCTCCTATAACACAGTAGTTGCGTTCGTGAAGAACACTGGGTTGTGGAAAAATTGCGTTGTAATAAATACTATACAATATAGGGTAAAGCAATAAAACGTGAGATGCATACGCAAGCTGAGCTAACACCGAGGCGTGTAGGTAGCATCTAGAAGCGTTCAGCAGCATCCCGCCTTGTGTGATGCTACGCCGAGGCATCCGCACAACCTCTTATTCCTCTAAATTGCGTTATATCCAATTGACATCCGCGTTATAAAAAAGGTGTTCCCTAATACGTTCATCGCGTTATATCCAATTGGCATTATGAAAATACACGTTACAGCACTGCAGTTACTTAAGTACATCCCCGCTCAAATTACCAATGGGCCAGCACACATCTCTGCAGGTGGTCAAGAACCGAAAATATAAATTCTATATTCCCATGACAAGCACCTTTTTACTACTCTTGGCATTCCACAATGTGGTATTCGTTTCATCAATCTCAAAGAAAATTGTCTGAGGTAACCTCTGACTGGGATTTGAACAAGCAACCTATCTCGTAATTTGTGAGTCAACAATTCTGACAACATAAGAGCACCACCAAGGTCACACAGAAAATAAACATTTATACACACCATAATTCTTTATTCAGCGAACTCACTGAATATATCAACACTCTTGTGGTGTTGGGAGATATGATCATTTTGTAAATATCAATAAACCACAGTATTACAATTAAATCCATGCATGAGAAGTTCGCACTTAAAACGTCTGCAGAGATGGGTTGAAGAAGCTGTTTGCTACACTGCCATTCCTGGCCACCGCATAACCAAGTGGGTTGGAATTGTGACACGTGAAAAAAATCTGTAATTAGCAGATAACCGACAGCATGTATAAGTTGTGTGCAATTTAAAATTTTTACGTTTCAACTATGTTTCTACAAAATATACGGTTTATTTTTCAGAATATAAAAAGCAGTTTAGTTAGTTAAAAATATATATTTAAAAAAAAGTGTGACTATTTATATGGCTCATCATGCCATGATTTCAGAGATACAGATGCAATAGAGAATCACATCGGGGTACAGCCATGGACGAATTGCTTCATCAGGTGTCTCTCACACAACACTAGATGCCATTTTTAAACTCTAAAAGAAGCAATTCTCTGCAAACCAATAACTATATATACTAGCCTTTTGCCCATCCAAGGACGGGTGTATTTCAGTAAATCTGAAACTTTCAAGCGAAAAGCAGACCGTGACGTGATATTCATTGCATCAATTCGTGTGCAATTTGTAAGGCCGCGGTGACAGTCTTATTTCATTTTAAGTTTATAATCCCTTGTTCATCATGACGTCCTTTTTACTTCGATGTCTCAATAGCGTTACGGAGAACACGTGGAGGGGGGAGGAGGCCCCTCGCCCCCCCATGTGGAGTGACGTCACCAGCTAATTATTATTAATGGGGGGGGTGTCCATTTGGAAGATGTCACCTCTTCACGATTATTAATGAGGGGGGCTCTTCGAGGTGGAGTGACGTCACCTGTTCATGATTATCAATGAGTGGGGCTGGCCGACGTGGAGTGCCGTCACGTGCGGGACACACAGACATTCTTGGCTCATTATAGTAGTATAAATACTGTCTTTATCAATACCAGCCCTTTGAACTAGGCTGCACTCGTTTGTATATATTATGCAGTCATTAGTAACCGGACAACACTTGGAAATCTGGCTTAGAATCTAGGCACGTGTATATTTTTCACTGTTCTTAAAAGCTTCCATGTGCTCGTATTCCATGGTCCACAAAGTCTTTCATCAAACCAAATTACACATGTTGGCACCTTCACGAGTGCAAGCAACTGCAGCTGTGGAATCTAGAGAGGTGGAATAGTGGGTTGAGTGATCAACCAGAATGGCGAATTACAGGGGTACACCACCTTTTGCACTCTCATTTACAGTCATTTCACAGTGCCTTCAAGAACTCCTGCATTATAGCCTTGCCATTTGTCAGTTTAATGTTACTTATAATTATAACGTTGTATCCCCTAAAGTGCACGTAATTTGTAATATTGTTTAACATATAGCTTTGAATGACTTTAGTTATTCTGAGAGTAGTGGCACAATCATTAGCGCAATTGTGTATTGACTCTGTGAACGTGGCAGACAAAGTTTGATCCCTGGCCATGACTAAGAATCAGTGTAGAGTGATATCTGAATCAGAACTTCATCCAGCAGTGGACTGACATGGTGATATAGTTTTTGTTTTGTTATTTTCATGAATGTACAATTCATTTTGTGCATTGGAGCCTTGCACCTGCATGTATCCTTGTCAATATACTTACACTAGTCTCCTCTGCTTGAGACTTGAGAGCTACTTTGTGATGAGGGGAAACTTTCTGCCAATATTTTGTGGAAAAATGGTCAAACCAGCAGAAAAGTTGATTTGGCCGTTTTTATTATGATTATTGATGTCAACTGCCTTTCCCTAAACCCATTAATTATATCGCATTTATCTGAATAGGTTCTTAGTATGAATCAAGATACGTTCCTACATACCCAAATAACTTTCCACCAACATACTTGATTAGTGCCTCCATAGGGCATAGGTTAGAGAAACATCTTCATCTAAAAGGACATTGAGCATAAGCCATAAGAGTGGTTGAACATGAGGAGCGGCAACTCAAAAGATAACAATTACCAGTCCAGTAACCACATTTTTTAAATAGCAAGTTTCATGTAAATCTGTTTAAACCCACATATTATTAGAGCACTACACAGTGCTCATCTCTTTTGCTGGTCCTGAGCCCGAAAAGGGATATTCCACAAGTGCAAGTCCAAATTTCACACAGCAGCCACTATTATTTGGGTCTTTCGGTAAAGTCACGTAGAACTTTTTTTTTTAGAAAGACCCAAAGAATATTAACTCCTGCAGTCACGAAAGCTTTAAGTAAATATTTAACAGCAGCCACCGTCAAACTCCCATCAAGTGGTGCTCATTTTACTGCCTGCTAAAGGAGGATTAATACATGGGTGAGATAATTTAAGTAATACGGGTAACAGCTGTTTCACTAACTATTGGTAGCAAGCCATTTTTGGAATTCTGCTCCTCCTCCACTAATCTCCTTCAAGGGACATCCACCCAGGATATGCAATATTGGCCCCGAAATTCCAAATAATCCCCACACTTTAATTATGGTGGTGATGGGTCAGTCTGATCTAGCTGGGCTTTTACCACTTGTGTCCTCAGGATTTACAAACTGCTTTTTCATTTCTATGGCAGTGTGGTGCAGTATTAGAATGTCCTCACCTAGCTGGTCACGTCACGATGTGGCACAGCATTTGACTAATAAAGGGAACGCAATAGCTTTAAACTGTGGTCAAGAGTTCAGTGAGTCCATATTTTCCCTGGTGCTCATAAATCGAATACCACTGTTTATAGTGATTGTCCGACAGAGGCTGGCCCCTTCTGTTAAATGATGAATGTCTACCACTGGCTCAGGAATGCCAACACAGATGAGCAATGGGCCACACTCATAAGCGGGGAGCCACTTTAACTTACAAGTTTAATTAATTCAACATAGACATAGCATGGTATATGAACAGTATAATTTTTCTCGACTGAACAAACGACCAAAATAAAACCAATGCGGCATTATGAATGCAACTAAATATAAGAAATCTAAACTTAACACAACGCACAGCCGTCCTCTGAACAGCTGGTTCAGTCCTGCTCTAATAGGGCTCTCGCCATAACACACGGAACATTCCTCTCAGCAAGTTAACAGAAATAAAATGTAAGATAAACACTAACTTAAATTTATTTCTCCAACTCACCCGGAGCACAAGTTAACCGTAGCCACTTAACCAGTGCGCGGTTGCACTGTAAACACTGTGATGGAAAAGTGGCCAAATACATCAAAATTACATTCGTGGCAACAGATAAAGTGAGGCAAGGAGTTCTGAAGTGGGGGTGATAATCCCACCAGGTGATAATTGTACTCCTAAATCACAACCAACCAGCCACGAGTAATAGCCATTCCATTGATCCCAATCAACTTGCCAGCACTGGTACAAATTTTGCTCTTTGACGCTTATCAACGTGCCATATCCATCCGCGTGCATGAGCCCTCCAAATTGACCCAAAACAACTAGGCATGAGCACTTTCCCTATCCCAACCTATTCGCTAACCAGCCACTCGTGTGAGTATTACCCTTGACGCTCATCAACTAGCCAAGCAGCCATGCCGATCCCATCTGTACGCCTTCTCCGTAACACCTTTTGCGCTTCGCACGGGCAACCTTTAAAGCTACTGACGGTAAGTGGGATCGTGGACCCGTCTGTGCAGATCTTAAGTGTTATACAACTCGCACGTTGAGTTTTTTTCTCTCTCTCTGGGTATTCCGGTTTCCACCAATAAGAATGAGCGAAGATTCGTAGTTTTTTTTCTGTGCTGCGTAATCAACCGGAAAACCACTGCAACGTTATGGAGACTAAACTGAATACAAGGTGCCTAAACTTAATACTCCACAGCTGATCCTGCGAAAAGATGATCCCGGTGCTCTCGCTGTCCTGGATAAATGCTCTGACAAAGTCAACAATATTAGAATTACCTGCCAGTGCATCCGTGGTCAGATTTATAAAAACAACAGAACATATTAACAGTTGGGAATCGATTATTTTTGTTTACGTACGTGGCGGCATTTCTGGCACAAATCTGCCACTCACAGCGCCGTCACATTAATACTCTACAATAAAATAAAACATTTCTAAACAATCAGAAAAATGCTTGTTTAAAATACAGTATTCCCCGACGCGCGACTCCCCTTAGTGTAGCGACTCAGTGACGCTTTCCTGGCTGGATGCCACTGCAGACTGAATCCCAATAACTACGTTATTATCAGAATCGATATTATATTATTAAAACTATTATAACAGTTATAACCTGCGCACGACCAGGCAAGAAGAGTACACTGTCCCCCCCCCCACACCCACTCCACCGACTCTCGACTAGATCCGCAGGCCGGGGGAGCCTCCACCGTGTCCCGTCTGGGCGTCCAGGCGAGACCGAGGTCTCGGATGAGGCCCCGCAACAAACATCACCGCAGCGACACTCAAAACATAATAAAAACTCCCGAGTGTCTTTGAGCAGGAACGCTCAGCCGCCTCGCTCCCTCACCTGCACTGCAAAGCCTCACGTTGCGGCGGCGGCAGCAGCAACAACAACAACAGCAGCAGCAAGCAATCAGCCAGCAGCAGCTCCGAAGCGATCGTAGAGGCGAGGGAAGGCTTGGTGGAGAAGGGGGCGGGAGCAGCGGAGACCTCAGCGACTGCCTCCACCCACTGCAGGAAGTCGGCGGCGGAGCCTGGGGTATGGCCGGAGCCTGGAGTACGGGCGGGGCCTCAAAGTTCACAGAGGCTGAAAAAAAAGATCTCCAAAATCTTGAATAAACACAAGATCCAGGTCCGTTTTAACAAATTACATAAAATCCGTGATCTGGTTCCGTCTGTAAAAGATGTGATTCCGGACATACAGTACCCTGGTGTCTACAAACTAAGTTGCCCCTGTGGTAGTAGTTACATTGGAGAAACCAAACGACATGTCTCGGACCGCATTCGTGAACACAAAGCAGACTTTAAACACGGTAGGACCAACACCTCGGCCGTGGCAGATCATTGTTATAATTCAGTAGGCTCACATGACATTGACTTTTCCAAGACAGAGGTTCTTTGTAAGCCATCTGGCTACCATGAGAGATTCGTTCATGAGGCTATCCACATATACAAGCACAGAGACAATTTCAACCGAGAAGATGGATTCTGGCTTAGCAATCATTGGAAAGATTTGATAAACCATTTCAGGTCTTAATTGATTGTTCACGCTTACAGTGGCTTTCAGACAGGATACATTTATTTTTCGTCTGCCCCCTCCTCTTTTCAGAACATAGATGGACTCGTCCTTCTAAATAAACTGCCAAATCGCTGCGCGTGGCGCTGACGTTTTTTTAGAAATAAATACACCGTTTTAAAAATAAATAAATAAATGCAAACCGACACACCTGATGACGACCGTTTGTGTTATGGTCGAAACGTCGTGAGAATTTGTATTGTTTTATATATATTTTATTATTTAATTGTTTCCCTTCAACGTGACTTTACCGAAAGAGCTAAGAATATGAATAAGCTGAAAATACTCTCTGGTTATATTCTTGGTTCTTTCGGTAGAGTATTATTGTTTTATATTTGTATTATTTTATTGTTTCCCTTCTACGTGACTTTACTGAAAGAACCAAGAATATGAATCCCTGCAGTCACGAAAGCTTCAAATCAAAATTTTACTCTTTGGTTCTTTCGGTAATGTAACGTTGGTATAAAAAAGATATAATTAAATTTTAATTACGACTTCAGCAATTGTTTTTCTTGCTGTCGTTGTCTCACCCGATGACGGACGCTTGTGTTGCGCCCGAAACGTCGTGATTAATTTTTTTTAATACCTAAGAGTATGGATCCCTGCGGTCACGAAAACGTCAAATCTAGACTGAAAATACCACAATTAAGTACACTATTAGCATAATTGTAAGTGATTCGTAACGCAAAGAGTGCACGCGATAGCAGCGCTTCGCAAGCACCTCAATGTTAAGAGCCGTTACACACGCAATGTTGCGCACATCCATGTCATCATCGGTCATGACCAATCCACTGCTGGGTGCAGGGCCCAAAGTGATTCATTGGTTGGGTGCTGTAAAATGAAAAAGGTCGAGAAACACTGACGTGCAGCATCTCCGTCATGCATCTGTCGCTTCTCATAAAGGGACAACATCTAACAATAGATGTTTGCACATCTATTGTTACTTACATTAAACCTTTATTTCACCAGGTAAGGCCCACTAAGCTATGGAGCTGTTTTTCAGAAGTGACCTGTCCACACATGATGGCTCAACGAAGTGGCTTATCATGTGGAAATCTATTGCAGCCAAATACTCTAAACGCGTGTTTATTGTAAATGTGGAAGAAAAACCGGAGGACTCGGAGAAAATCCACGCGGCCACGAGGAGAGAGAGGAACGGAAACTCCAAATATACAGGCGTCAGGGTCAGGATCGAACCTAACGACCTTCTGTATATTAGGCGACGGAGTTAACATCTCGGCGCCCACATAATCTCCCCGTTTCTCTCTCTCACCATCGCTCTTCTTATTCCCATCTGTCCCTTTCCTGTCTCAATCTATCTTGCCTCTCACTAAACCCTGCATCCCACTGCTAGTCGCTTGCCCTCGCTCTACTCTTTCCGTTTTGCTCTCTTTCCTATCCATTTGACGCCCCTTTTTTCTCATGTTCGTTCCTCCCCGATTCCTCAATCCCTCTTAATATCCCTCCCTCATCTCCCTCTATTCCCCCCCTTCTACCTACCACCTCAACCAATTCCTCAACAGTGTACTTCACCGCTAACTCACCACCTGAACCTCCCTTCTAGTTTCGTGCTGTCACCATCCTAGAATAATTAAAAAAAAACATATTCTCTGAAAGTAGACTTCCTGTGTAGGAATCAAATGTTAGTGTAGCCCTTTCTTGGTGTTCACTTTCAGTTTCTTGAGTATCTGCCTCAGTTTCTAAAAGTTTTTTTTTTAAGAGGAGTCTAACTTATTCTATTAATACATTACTCTTTAACAAATTAGCTAATAGCTCAGTGGGTTTTACCTAGTAAGTAAAACAACTTTTATTTGCATAGTTTGAAGGTTATTTGTTTACCTTTGATATACTTTGCACCACTGTCGTGTTTTTTTTGTATTGTTGTAGCGTTGTGACCCCGTGACCCTACTGGAAATCTGTGAAAAAAGAGCTTTATAGCTCATCGGGATTCCTCCAGGGATAAATATTCCGATTCTGCCTCTGAGTCGTTCTTTATCTACGAGAGTCAGAGAAAAAACTTTTTGCCGGTCGGCTCGTTACAAATTTACATTTTTTATCATCGTGTGTCATGTATTTATGATGCCTTTATGGTGAAAGCACCGCTCCTACCTCGCGCGTTGCAGTTCATGAACGCAACCCCGTACGTGACGAATGTGGGGGGAGTTGTAGTGCGCGAACGCTCCCTCGTGGCAGCACGTGTGTTCCGCATGGCGCTCCGTGAGTCGCACGTGTTCCCACCACAGTGGTGTTTGAGTGCGGGCAGGGGTTGGTGGTTCGTGGTTGTTCTTGCAGTGCATGGGGTGGCCGGTCGGTCAGTGCGGGTTCGTGAGTGCGGGTTCGGATATCACACATACCTCTGTCCATAATACAGGGTTTTTTGGGGGGGTTTACCCGTGTTCTTGTACAGGGAAATTGAGTTTTCAGGTTCATACGAAGTACAACCCGTTTCAATACGGGCAACATATGTTTTGTCTATTTGTTTGCGTTTCTCCCTTGTGATGTAACTTTGTATAGGATGAACGTTGAGATTTATAAGGGCATGGGGTGACCAATAAGGTTTGAATTGGTCTGATAAGGGACAGGTACGTATCACTCGCCACAGATGTTGGCCGTGGTGCGAACCGAAATCTTGTTGACCGGGTTCATATCTAAGTGCGCTCACCACTGCGCCACCGCTCCACCCATTGCACCAGCTTGCTTCATGTGCCGTACTGGAATATGGTTTATAAAGCGCCGTACCCGTGTGCCACGCGTTTCACACGTGCCTCTCCTGTGCCTCTCCTATACATCTGTGAAAAAAGAGCTTTACAGCTCATCGGATTCCTCCAGTGTAAAATATATATTCTGATTCTGTGTAACTCTTTCACATCGCGTATATAACTCAAGGATGACCTCGGTGGAAATCAAAATATCCGGAGCTGCGCGTGAGCGTGACCCGCGACTTCCGCCACATAGTTCAATCTACTACTGGAGGTTATTTGACCATACTTCACAATTAGCACGGTTGGCTACGTACAGCGAGAAAGAAGTTCAACATACAAACTATTATACACACCACTACTATCCAGTACACCATACACGACACGGCTACATACTACACTACGATATACTACAATATTATACACTACACTACTATACACTCTACTCCATTGGGAACTAATTTCTTTAGAATGTATTTTTGTGTTTAGTTTTGTTGTCCTTCCTCCGCACCTCCGATTTGCACGGTTGGCTATGTACGGTGCGAAATGAGTTTTACACACAAACTACAATACACTACCACGGTGGTCATTCCTGTAATGGACTGCTGTACTTAAGTACAGCACAATTATGCATTGTGTTGCGCTGCCATCTGCTGCCCACTTAAAATTACCACGTTATTGACCTGGACTGTATATGCGTGTGACCCACGTGCTAGTACTGGGTGGAGCCATCCGCCTATGGGTGAGGCACGCTGCCCCTCGTGCCCCGGGGCTGCCCTGTCCGAGGGCCCACCCCCGTGGGGCCTGCACGGCCTCCTGCCTGGTCTACGAGGCTCACGGGGAGCCACAGCACGTGCTCCGGTATGGCCCTTCAGATTGATTCTCTCGGTCCGTCTCGTTGCGTCTCATTGCCGCTTGAGAGGACAGCCACCGTTAGGTTGAGCTGTGACATTGGCTTGTGTGTAGGAGCTCGATGGATTGTTGCATCGCGAGACCGTGAGCAACTCCAATGGCTTTTGTTGGGGGGGGGGCCTTACTTCGGTAGTGGATAGATCTTGGCTATTTGTTTGATACAGCGGGTAGATAACGAAACGATAAGGTTTTATTTATTTTATCAGGTAAGGCCCACTGAGCTATATAGCTCTTTTTTCAGAAGTAACCTGGCCACAAATGATAGCCCAACGAAGTGGCTTATGTGGAAATGTATAGGAGCCGAATACTCGAAGCGAATGTTTATAAAATATGGAGGGAAAACCCCAAAGGAAACCGGAAAAAAATCCATATGACCACATTGAGAGAGAACACGCAAACTCCAAATATACAGGTGTCAGGATCGAGATCGAACCCACAACCTCATGCATACCAGGCGAGGGTGTTAACATCTCGCCACCGCGGGCAGCTAAAACTCCAGATTCATACCTAGGGTCTCAGCAGTGCTGGCGCGGTGCTACCGACATTCCCCTTATGAGCCGCCCGTGCATCACCTGGGCACCCTACATGTCCTGTCCTCACGTTGCCCGCTGTGTTCGCTTGTGCCAGGTTAGAGGAGCGGACCCTGCCCCCGGTTGGCGAGGGAGAGGTACGGGTTCGGATGCTCGCGGCTCCCATCAACCCGGGCGACATCAACATGGTGCAGGGTGAGCAGCGGCAGTGGCGGCTGCTGCTGCTAGAGCAGTCGACAAAGCCCCGCGTCACGCAAAACGTGACTTCCAGGAGCAAAGGGCAGACTTGTCGTGGCTTTGTGGGTTCGATCCTGACCCTGACGATGCATGTTTATTAGGAGTTTGCATGTTCTCCCCGTGGTCATGTGGATTTTTCCTCTGGGTCCTCCGGTTTTTCCCCCCACATTTGAGCAACATGATAGGTCAACTCGATTAAAATTTTAACACGCAAAGAGTCGAGCACTCTGCAGAGGCATCAATCAGCTGTATGTTTCGTGCGCCATTTATCTGTATATACTGTACATTTTTTTACCCTTTGCTTAAAGGTGTAAAGACAGTGCGGAGCGATAGTGGGACAGTATGGTTCCCCGGGACCATGGCTACTAATGGACGTGCTAATGATTGATGAGGCAAACGTTGGCAGGGTCACGTGAGGGGGAGCACGGGATCCAGTGGCGGGGGAAGTGTAATTAGAGCGATGATTGACAAGAGCAGGTGCGGCGAGGAGGATTCGAGAATATGGGCGTGGCCGGACCGGGCGAGGCTTAAGAGCCGGCTGCGAGTCAGAGCTGGTGGCTGTTGGTGTGGGGAATCATCGTCTTCTCTATCGTCTGCGAGTTGTCTTGAGGCCAGAAGCTATGTTGTCTCTGAATAGAGTTGTCTTAACTTCTCCAGTGTACAGAGTCACTCGCCAGAGTCACTCGCAGTTGCTCGTTGAGTTGTCAGTGGACTTTATTCATAATAAATATACGGAAGATAAGACGGTGTCTCTGAGAGATACATTACAAAAGTATAAAATTACATCTGATTTTTCTTTTAACTGTTTTAAATCAGTTATCTATTCATTAGTGGGATGGAGCGGTGGCACAGTGGTTAGCGCACTACACCATAATCTCAGTGACTTGCGTTTGATTCCCGGCCATGACCTGTGTGGTGAAGTATGGTCAAACAACCTGACGACTAACATGGTGTTAGCAGACCTTTGTCCATCAATGAATTGACACAAAATTGGAAATTAACTTGATAATCAGATGAGTAATCTTTCGTTGTGGTTCATGTCACTCTAGCCATGAGTTTGACTGTGTGTTTCAGTAGGTTTAAGAAAGGCTTGTTGTGGTGCATAGTTTTACAAAATGGTCATGGTGTGTGTTTGTATTGGACAGGTAAATACGTGGTACAGCCGCCCCTACCTGCAGTGGGGGGGAATGAGGGTGTGGGGCAGGTGGAGGAAGTTGGGTCAAAGGTCACGACCCTAAAACTGGGCGACTGGGTCCTGCCATGTGACTCTGGCTTCGGTGAGTACAAGTCGACTGGGCGTCATTTCACCGCACGATTTACGGCACCGATTAAATAACAGACACGGCCATGCTTATAATGATGAAATTCAACAGGGAACATTCAGTCCATTCATTGTTTAAGCTCAGTTTTTAGTGCCGCCTGTTACCAAATAACCCAGATTGTGCCCGATAGTGCTTAACTGCATGACCACCCATGCATGACAGCTTGTTATAGGCTGATGTGGGGCTACGTGGTGGGCAGAAGAGATTAGTGCAGCAAAATATATCGTGCTGTATTTCTTTATTTATGTATCCCTCACAACCCAACTCGCATGCTGTGGGGAAACCCTAAGAGCTGTACATATCTGGCAAATACATGTCCCTCGTTGTAAATTAATTAGTTTTCACGTGACATTTAGAGTAGATCCATCTGCAAAATCCTGTTTTCTGCTAGTGCCAGTAGGTCTGCAATTTGTCCTGTTATAACCAAACAAATCTATCTATCAGTGGCAGGGTGGGTGGCAAAGTATTTTCCCCTACTGTGTGGATCGGAGGTCATTTTATGGAATCTCAGGTAGTTCTGTGGTATCCACTTCCACAGGCCGTTCTCTAACACAAATGGGCGCAGTGCTCTGCGAGAGTTACGAATGGATTCTTTGTCTCATGGCACGACAACAATACCACAATCGGGATTACATTTGGGGGGCAAGGTGGCGAGATGTTCACTACCTCGCGTGGTAGTTAAATGGTGGGTTTGATCCCGACCCCGACGCTTGTATATTTGGAGTTTGCATGTTCTCCCTGTGGTCGTGTGGATTTTTCGCACATCCAACTAGTACGGCTGGCTACGTACGGTGTGAAAGAAGTTCAACATACATACAAATGGCAAAAGCCCAATGCTGAAGTGCCGCTATCATGGTCGTCAGAACGTCGAGGATTTTATTTGACCGGCAAGTGGGTGCCACTGGTTTTTCCATCCTGTCCGTGCGTCCGTGGCGGTGACACTCGGGAAAGGCACATGGAGGACGAGGGCCGTGTGCCCGGAGGCCGCCCTCCTGCGCGTGCCGCCTGAGCTGCCCCTGCTGAGCGCCGCCACCATCGGCATGAACCCTGCGAGCGCCTACCGCATGCTCCACGACTTTACGATGCTGAGCCCAGGCAAGACCGGCACTTCCATGTCTGCCACACTTTGGCCGCACAAGCCACGCGCCTGCTCGTGATTGCAAGGATTTAACCCCCACCTCTCCCCGCCCCTTCTACGATTCGACGTATCATCACGATTCAAGGGCTTCTATTTGTGCATCGTATTTGTGTTTGGCACTGCAGTGCATTTAGTTGGTCGTTAGTTTAGCACATATGCTGTCGTGACCAATATTAGCCATAAAGGTTTTTTGGGGTGGATCGCCTAAGTATTAATGTGCCGTTTAACGTGCCCCCACCCGACACAACCAATTACTAAGTTTTGCCACGTAAACAAAACGTGCCAATTAGTTACCAGTTCAGCACACCGGTGTGTTGGAGGGTAAATCCACAATATTTTCAATTTGAGTACGACGTTTCGCCGGCAATTACAACTAGCATCATCGAGGAGACGGCCAGAGTTGTGGAGAAATCCTCCTGCTTGGTTTTGACTGCTTGGCGATCTGGCACTTCACGCAGGTGACACGGTCATTCAGAACGGAGCGAATAGCGCAGTGGGCCAGGCCGTCATCCAGATCGCGGCGTCCCTGGGGCTCGTGAGCATCAACATCGTCCGAGACAGGTGCCCACGCACGCCCGTGTCCTCCGCACACACTGCAATGTTGGCACTGTCGTCTGCCCACCATTACAGCAGTGTTTAAGGCCCGTCTTATTTGTCTACCGAAATCTATTCGTGCTTGGCGTGAAACGGTCCGTGGTTAAAAGTAACAAAATATATACGCACACAATGCAATTTTCACCTGAACATGTTAGACTTTCATGACCAATATTATTCGTATTAAAGTTTTTATTTTATTTTTGTTATCGTCAAAAAATATTCACATATCCTTCTCTCCACGTAAAATATTTTTTTATTATTTCTTACGCATTCCATCAGCCACATGGCCTTCTGGGAGTGTATCATTTTAGCAGCATTGCTTCACAACCAATGAAACTCTAGACTGGTTTTGACATTCGGTGTATGCGTGTATGTATGTTGATCCTCTTTCGCACCGTATGTAGCCAACCGTGCTAATCGAAGGTGTGGGATGCTGGATTGAGTCATCCTTTAACCGAGATTTGAACTCATGTCACCCAGGGCTGGGGAACCTGTGGCCTGCTGGTTTGATACAGCCCGTGACTTCATGTCATTAGGCCTGCCACTTCTAAATGACCCGGGAACAATATATTTATCCATCGCCGTGAGCAATCGAACTCCACTGTGTCTGCTTTGGCATCACTGTGCTAGTGAGAAGAGAGCAGGCACAGATCTCGCACAAGCATCGTAAGGGTGAGCCATAGCTATCTTTCTTATTATCGTTGGACAACGCTGAGGCATGTGTTAATGTGTCCCGCCCTATACCGAAGTTATTTGAAAGTCCAATTTTGACCGAAATCTGTGTGCTGCGTTTATTGTTTCAGGCCGGAGCTGCCCAAGCTGGTGGCAAAGCTGAAGGCCCTGGGCGGAGACTTTGTGTTCAGTGAGGTGGAGCTTCGAAGGCCAGACGTCAGGGAGGTGCTGAAGGTGCCGTTGTTTGGTTCAACACGTTCGTCAATAACACCGTGGCCTTCAAATAAAAAAAATCTATAATTGCCAATGTTTTGGGCAACGACCCTTATTCATAGCACAAAATTATAGAGGCGAGAGAGATATAATGGTGAAGGTTTGGAGACTGTATTTTACACCATGGGGCCTGATGAGAATTGAGACAAAAAAGTGGTCCCCAATGCTGATTCACTTTCTCCGGCCTCACTGTGTGCTATTAAGAAGGGCCATTGCCCGAAATGGTGACTATTATATATTTTTCCTTTTAAGACCACAGTTTTATTGATAAATGTGATTTTAATTTTTTATTATTTGTGGTCATGGATAAACGCCAATACAGCATCACCGAACATGTTTTCGGAATGTGGAATTTGGTATCCTTTATTTAACCTGGAGATTAAATAAACCCATGGAGACGCATGAAGCAGCATCGCCTCTCTTGCAAGGGCGGCCTGGTTCACATCAGGAACAGCTGAAGAGCACAATGAATTTAAAGCATTTAAATGTATCGAACGTAGACTAAAATTGACGATAAATCAAAATGTTACAATGAGGCAATGCTAAAAGGTAACCTTGCACTTAAAATAAAAAGACTTATTTTTTTTGATAAAACTTTACGAGAGGAAGTGACTACATTAGGCAAGTAGAGGTAATGGAGAAATGTACGTAGAATACGATCAAGTGTTAACAAACTGGCTGAGGCAGTCATGAAACATTCAAACAGTCACTCAAGCGGCTTCATCAGTTTTTCTTCGAACTCGGCTATGGTCTAGGATAAAATTTAGACGCAGCTGGCGAGGCCAAGCGCTTTTGTTAATGCAGTTTGCACAGATGAATAGTGTGCTTTCCCACCATCACTGTGCAGATTGAAGCACATTTCCAATTGAGAAATTATTCCCCAGCAAGATAAATAAATAACAACAGACCTTCACCTGTGGAAGCTGAGAAAACCAATGCACACAAGGGAATACTACTCATAGGTGTGTGCAGATGGGTTAATTAATCTACTTGCTGTACTTTCATTGCCTGGCCACCTTACGACCCAGCAGGTTGGGGAGTTTCACAAATCTGCACTGTCCACCAGTTCACAGCTCTGGGTCACACGCATGGGCCTTCCTGCATAAACTAAACTTAACAATTTTTTTTATTTTACCAGGTAATGCCTACTGAGCTATACAGCTCTTTTTCACCTGGCCACAAATGATAGCTCAACAAAGCGGCTTATCACGTGGACATTTATAGCTCTTTTTCAGAACCGACCTGGACCACAAATGATGGCCCAACAAGTGGTTTATCATGTGGAAATGTATAGCAGCCAAATACTCTAAATGCATGTTGATTGTAAATGTGGAGGGGAAAACCGGAGGACCCAGAGAAAATCCTACACGACCACGGGGAAAACACGCAAACTTCAAATATACAGGGATCAGGGTCAGGGTAGAACTCACAACCTCCTGAATACCAGACGAGGTAGTTAACATCTCGCCACTGTGGTGCATAGCAAGTACATGAGTTTAATTATTGTTTGTATTATTACAGATGGACCAGCGTTTAATGCTCTTCCATAGTTGCATTCAGAAGGTGGTGGTGGTGGGCCTTCCTTTTGAGTTGCTACATCCCTCTTTGTTAATCTGCTGCTGGATGAGGGCCTCCCCACGCATGCATAAACACAGGTGTTATTAATGTAGACTGACACGGCAACATGGGCAGCAGAGGCAGGAGTGCAGACACATCCCTTGTACTGCACTATGCTCCCAGTCGTGTGCCCCTGCTCGTAATAAACATACGCAATTGTGTTAATCGTCGGCTGTATTCACTTTACACAAGACACTCATGCTGATTTTTGTTTCCGAGCAGATGCTCTGCAAACCGCGACTGGCGTTGAACTGCGTGGGAGGACAGAGTGCCATGGAGCTCCTTCGCAACCTCGAGTGAGTGCAGATGGCTCAGAGCGAATTCACTTTTTTTTTTTTTTACAATAGCTGTGAACGTTTTTACATTCAGACCCTTTCTTTGCGTCCAATGAAAGCGTTCGCATCAGTTCTGTCATTCCAGTCAGCTTGGACGTTCGTGAATGCTGAGCCAGCAGGTAATGTTAAGAGTTAGAATTAATCTTCTGAAAAGATGTTGAACGATTGTTCTCAATATGACAGGAATCGTCGTCAGTGTTGATGCGTAGCGAAGTTCACTCGCTCGAACTTTACCGATTGCTACATGAAGCGGCAGCCAGTCAGGGTTGGAGTGGCACAAAGGGGGCGACTTTGTTAAATTTCAATCAGCCGTCATAGATTAAATGTCGCTCGTGGAATGCGGCGAGAGATTAATAGCAGAAAAGAGGGCATTTCCATGGCTGTATGATCATAACAAGTTGAGGTCACAAGAAAATAAAATAATTCCTTGGACGTTGTCAATGTCAAACTTGTGAGTTCATTGGAAGTTTGTTGGAGGGGAATGGAAGGTGCTTGAGGCCTGGGTCTAGTCAATTTATAGGCAATGTTTATATTTTAAATGAGTCAAACTGTTAAAACATTTGTGTGACCTATATTGATATTATAATTCATCATGATAATTTGACTGTATTGCTCAGAAATAAATGTGTTTGTGTGTTGTTGCAGCTTCATAACATTTACGTAAAATGGGCTTATAATCTCTGCGGAGGACCTTGAAATTGAAGTGACGTCATGTGTGTTCGCAGTTTGGGCCGAGCGTAGGCCTAAACTCGACCCAGGCTAGAGAGGATATAGACACCACGTGGTCTACCACGGGATCCCAGCATGTTTCGAAGCCCTACTGCAGTGGTGCGAACTTGTTTTACCTAACGTAAGGCACGTGCCGTTCACTAACCGTGCGTAAACCCAGCCTAAGTCTGATCGGTAGACTTTTTCGACCCCCCCAACTGTGCTTTGAACCCACAGGCGGCACGGGACTATGGTGACCTACGGCGGAATGTCGATGCAGCCCGTCATCATCCCCACGGCAAGAGCACCGCCCTCGCGTACCACCAGCAGCATTCTTGGCATGCAACTTGGCCAACTCCTAGTAGACTAACTCAGTGGCAGTAGACGGACACAATGAGTGGGGAGTACCTACCACCTAACATGAGGGTGGCACCCATATGCACCCTCAATGTAAGATTACGGATAGTCCCCGAGTTACGATGGTCCGACTTACGATATTTCGATCTTGCGATGGCGATACGACAAAATTGTAAAATATTTTACATTTCGCGCGGCAGGCAAACGCAGCGGCGTACGAGGTACGATACTGTACGTTGGGACGCTGCCGGGATGTACGCGTCTCCCGCCTTGTGTGGTGATCCCTCACTCTCACCCAGCGGTCGACGGAGTTAAGTTGTCCTCGGTGTTAGCACGTGTATTTGTTTCCGTGTTTTTTGTGTTTCAAAAGCATGTTCAAAGTTTTTATAGCAGATAGGATTGATTCCTGAAAAAACGTTCTATTAAATTGCAGTTCATATAGGTAGGCTAAGAATTTACCTTGTTTTTTTACTTTACATTTTACTGTGCAATACAGTATTGTAATTAATAAATACATACAGTATATAGATAATACAGTACGGTACTGTAAATTGCTCTGTTTTGCTAAATTATCACCATTCTTTAAGACTCCTGGGTAGGCTAGGCCATCATATTTTTGACTTACGATGGGGTCGTCGTAACGCATCTCCATCGTAAGTAGAGGACTACCTGTACATGAGATGCGCATCTCTGAATAGCACGGCTGGTTACTTAGTGCGAAAGAAGATCAACATACACACGTGAGAGCACACCTTGTGGATCAGGTGTTGACTGTATAAAAGCTGAGGGATCTAGCAGAAGGAAGGTGGTAATGGCGAGGTGTGGTGGCATCAGCGGCACTGGCTATGATGATGACCTCTTGACCTTCATTGGTGGAATCACTAGTCAATTTTGACGTGATCGCTGAATAATTTTATCGAGGATTCGAATGACAATCTCGGTGAAGCGAGCGGCAAAAAGTATCTCCTTGTGGATGACGTGTCATTCCTCTGATTATGCGTGTAAGAATACATGGAAGCAAAGGGCAAGGTGTGGTGGCATTGGCTACACACTGGCAATGATGACTTGTTGAACTTTAGAAACACGCGTTTTAGACTATTTGGTCGCTATAAACGTCCACATGATAAGCCACTTTGTTGAGCTATCATTTGTGGCCAGATCGCTTCCGAATAAGAGCTATATAGCTCAGTGGTAAAATAAAAATAGTTTAAATAGTAGTTAACTTGAATGCCTCCCCAGCCATCCCAAGTAACTGCCTCTCAATGGGGGGGGGGGGGCACATTGGGAGATTATTCGCGTTCATAATAGCTTGGCGGTGATGGCTATGCATGCCTGTAATCCAACACTGGTAGGCGAGGATTGGCGGAACGTAAACATGATGTTTGCGTTCAGGAGAAGGCATTACAGCGCGTCCATCAGTTTCCAGCTGTATGGAGATACGGGTGTTGCCCCCTCGTACACGTGTTTTTTTTCCTCTGGGTGCTCCAGTTTCCTCCCACTTGTACAAACACTCATCAATTGACTGAAAACATCTTAAAAATAAAAGCGAATGCAGGACCCTCGTGAAAAAGTCCAAATCAACATCACTTTCCTGGAAAAATAATGATTATTACGAGGGCATCAACCCTCCAGGCTCCCGATAAGATTGACACTGCTGACACGGTTACCTTTTCCGGCTCATTTCCTTTCACCATTAATATGTAATGATGGTCCTGGCGGTGTTGGTTGCGTGCGCGCGCTTCGTCTGTCCTCGTCAATCTCCCAGTGGTGCCTGCGATGATTGAGAGCTGGGGCCCCAGGCCGCAAGTGGCATGCAGGAGATGGGTACAGCGCCGTGGGCTAGGTGGCCGGGCCTATCGCGAAAGCAGCAGTAATGCCACAGAAAACCCCTGTGTCGCTGCCCTGCTCGTCCAAACACGAAACCGTGTTTAGTTTATAAATTACAGGTATCACCTCGATTTACGAACGTTCGGTTTACGAAATTTCGCGTTAACGCAATTGCCAAATTACAAACACTTGTTGATTAACGAAATCGAATATCCGCGGGAACTGAATTTCACACGGCAGGCACTATGACATCATCTAAACAAGAAGCACCCTGGGAGTCACGGTATCCCCTCAGTGTAGCAGTAACACCTCCACATCACCTTTCCAGTCATTCCAGCATGCAGATCTTTTGGCGAGTGGCCTGAAAAGGTTAATTATTTTTGTTGTGCATTCATTATTGTTCCACCGCTTTAATATTTATGTTCTTGATAATTATTTTTGGTTCGTGAAAGGTTACATCCGTGTATGTTTTTAGGTTGGGAGTTGAGTAGGAATGACTGTCCAAAACACATCCCTAGTTTTTTCGTATGAAATGAATGGGAAAAGCTACTGTGATTTACGAACATTCATTTTACGTGCGTTTTTTTAAGAACGCATCCCTTTCGTAAATCGAGGGATACCTGTACATAGCAAATTGCATGAACTACATTCCTATATATCACAGGATAACCAACTGTATATTAAACTTCGCATAACAACAAAACACGTTTCTGACCATACCACCCCACCACTGATAACTAGAATCGTGCCTTCCTACAGCACACCCTCACTCTAGACCACATGGGGTGTCGAGAATATTACACCACCACACCGCTACGCTAAACTGCATCACTTGTACATATATTACCTCCGATTTTGTATTACATATTACCCCGCACCTCCGAGTAGAATGGTTGGCTACGTACGGTGCGAATGAAGTTCAATATACACACATTACCTTTTGTGAATTTTCACAAATAAGAGGAGCTTCCTGGCAAATACATCTTAGGTCTTCACATTATCAAGGATAAGAATGTGCGGATAAGAGGGATTGAATTTGCAAATAGGATTGAGTAACTGTGAAGGGGTTTCCTCTGACCTCGCCGAAGAAGTTCCTCTTTAACTCCCGTTTTCTTTTGTTGTTTTGGTCTACAGAGCGCGCTCATCTTCAATGACATAAAGATTGTGGGGTTCTCGGTGACTCGATGGAAGAGGCTTAATTCTCATGGTGAGGCGAATGAGAGAAAGGTGATCTGAGGGTGGCGTCGCGTTATTACCGTACACGTGCCAAACGTGAACACACAAGCCACTTTAATCCTTCGGTGGCGGCGAGGCTGGGCATGTTGTCACAGTTCTATCTCGCTTGGTAGTCACCGTTGGCCATGAACATTGTGTGTTTGTGTGTGTGAGATTCCCAACCACAAGAACAGGCAGTGGTGCTTTGCAGATTCATCGTTGGGAGTTTTGGGTGCTATGTCCGCCCTGGACAGTAGGGTCCCACACACTGCTATAAAATCCAACAACCCGAGTTCAGTTTCTTGCCACGGCTAATATCAGTGGCAAGTGATGTCTGAACCAGTCAAGGGCATGGTCTTTTATCAACCTGCACTGACCAGCGTGGTGAAGTAGGATGAAACAACCCCCATAACCAGCACTACGTAGGAAGGCCTTTACCCAGGAGGGGCTGTAGCCTGTTGTTGGTCTTTATCTCCTCTATGGATGGAGATTCTCCTGCCACTGGTTTTCTCATACTTAAATAATTTCTTTAAACCTGCAAAACCATAAAAAGCTCGTCGTAAAATGAAGTCAAATAGGAGATTCCAAGAGTCGCCATAGACTATTGATCAAATTAGTTAATGTTTTATATCAGTCTCGAGTTACGTTTGTGTCCAGAAACGCAGAGCAACATCGAATACGTTTAGACCACAAGCCATCGTGGGAACTCGTACTCTGCTTTGCATGCTCTTAAGTGTGCACTGGGCCAGTGTTGTTTTTCACTGACACTGCTGAGGAGTCGGTGGTGGAAATTCCAAGATCCTCATGGTGGGGAACCATTCCAATCATAGAGACGACTATTGCTAACGTCTCATAAAGTGGTTTCTCGATAGACCATGGATGATTGATTGCTGGAGTCAACCCCCAACCTCTTCCAGTTGTGAATCGAGCATGCTAACCAAATTAGCACCGTTGGCTATGTACAGTGTGAAAGTGGTTCAGCATACGTACAATAAAAATCTGAGCATAGCAATGATAGGTTGTGTTTTTAGGAGACAGCGCAGTGTGTGCGAGAAATACCGGGATACATTCAGGGGTGCTGTGCTCTGATACATTTGTTTTATTAGTAAATCCTGTTATTTCCATGAAGACAATTAGAGCACCCCCCCTCCAAAAAAACCAAATATCTGCCAACGCTGTTTTTAGCACACGCTGCAATTGAATGGTATGTTGCAATATCAAGAGGCGGGTGGTGATGATGCTTATGCGTGTGGTCAGATGGCTCGGCGTACAAGCGAATGCTGGCCGAGCTGTGCTGCCTGGCTCGCTCGGGAAAGCTGACCGCCCCGGCGTGTTCCGAGGTTCCGTTCCGGGATTTCCGGGCGGCGCTGGAAGCAGCGGCAAAACCATTCACTTCGGAAAAGCAGGTCCTCGTGATGTGACGTCCCACTGGTGCTGACTTGCTCAACGGCGGTTTTCTCGTTCATTCGTGGGCGCTGATCAAACGCGGGCAGCCTTGTGGTGTGACACCGGAAGTTAGGGGGAGGTAATTAAAATATATAAATCCACATTTTATTGTATCCATCCACCAGCCTTGCCTCCATGGTGCTGGTTTACCGCCATGCACCACCAGGCCTGGTACTTGGTGCAGGCACAAGTGTCATTTACTTTTAATTTTACCAGGTAAGGCCCACTGAGACGTATCGCTATTTTTCAGAAGCGACCTGGCCACAAATTGATGTCTCAACGAAATGGCAAAAGTCTGTGGCTTGTTGTGCTCCTAGAAGAGCAATGCATAACTATAAGGGTATTTCCAGTGCCGTCAGGCCAGATGCGTTCCGTTCCTTGGCTGCCACTGCGTCATTTTTCTTGACCTACGGCCATCATCCCTTTTAGCAACTTGTCCTGTCCAAAGACACTTTTAACATTTCGATTTAAAGCTTTCGTGACTGCAGGGATTCATATTCTTAGTTCTTTCGGTAAAGTCACCACGTAGAAGGGAAGTAATACAAATAAAACTATGAAATTATCACGACGTTTTGATTGCAACACAAGCAATCATCATCAGGTGTGAAAACCACAGCAAAAAAAACCCACTTTTAACAGTTTAAATTGTGTCAGTAACCGATGCCCTCCTATACTTGTTTTCCTCTTTCTGTCAATGTCATTCTAAACATGGGTCACTTCATGCTTCTTTGTCACGCTATTATACATTGTCAGCATTTTGGATGTTATTGTTACGTTCGTATTTATATGAATTGGCTCCTATGTTTGTTTTGTACTTGTGGTGAACTTTGTGTATGATGAAAAGTAATAAAGCGTTGAATTCGTTATGGAGTTCAGCTATTAAAAAATACTCCAACCTGCACTTTGTCCCACTTCATGTCCGGTTCACCTTCAATTGCCGTCTCCCTATGGCCAAATCACCCGGGATGCAACCAGTCTCATCAGATCTTGAGCATGGATAGTGCCTGGATCGTGACCACCTTGTGTAATAGATGTTATAGGCAGAAGGAATACGTAGCAGGCAGCAGGGAAGGGTGCAGAAAAATGCATTATTGTAATTATGTGATTTGGAGCCTTCGTGACTGCACGAATTACTCTTTGGTTATTTTGGTAAAGTCACGTAGAAAGAAAAATAAACTAAATAATAGCATACGACGTTTCGATTGCAACACAAGCAATCATCATCAGGTACGAATGAAAGAGAAAACAAACCTCGTGAACTTAGAAATACAATGCAATACAACACAGAGAGTCGGCTAACATAACAGTCAATACCCTACCTGGTTGATTACGTTCTTCCAAAGATTGCTAAATTTGAGAGAGAGACAAAACACAGACACGGAGACACATAGACACACATGCCAATCGATGTGCACATCTCAATGAATTGGAACTAAAAGACAAGCCACACAAGTGTGATTGTGGCCATATAACATGAAATATGGACCATATAGTAAACTCATAGACCCAGAGATACACAGAAATACAAAGAGATACAAACAGATACATTTCAACTCATCCCCTTGAATTCCGGCTCACTCCCCCAATGTCAACTCACCCCCTTGAATTTCAACTCAACCCCTTGAATTTCAACTCACCCACTTGAATTCCGGCTCACCCCCCAATGTCAACTCACCCCCTTGAATTTCAACTCAACCCCTTGAATTTCAACTCACCCACTTGAATTCCGGCTCACTCCCCCAATTTCAACTCACCCCCCCCCCCCCCAATTTCAACTCACCCCCTTGAATTTCAACTCATCACCTTGCATTTCAACTCACCCCCTTAATTTCCGGCTCACCCCCTTGAATTTCATCTCACCCCCTTGAATTTCATCTCACCCCCTTGAATTTCATCTCACCCCCTTGAATTTCATCTCACCCCCTTGAATTTCATCTCACCCCTTGAATTTCAACTCACCCCCTTGAATTTCATCTCACCCCCTTGAATTTCATCTCACTCCCTTGAATTTCAACTCACCCCCTGGAATTTCCGGCTCACCCCCTTGAATTTCATCTCACCCCCTTGAATTTCATCTCACTCCCTTGAATTTCAACTCACCCCCTTGAATTTCATCTCACCCCCTTGAATTTCATCTCACCCCCTTGATTTCCGGCTCATCCCCTTGAATTTCCGGCTTAGGCGACGACCCCTGCGTATTAAAAAGGAGGCATTGGAAAGCTGAAATTGAGCATAAAATTCACTTGAAAATATTCAACGTCTAACTAAAACTGCAGATGTTCAGAATATTATATTGAAATTCTCTCATAATTATAAAATATTAAAGTAATTATAACTATGTAAAAAATACTTGAAACTTTGTAGTAGAACGAAGCTAAATGGAGAGTACAATTATAACAATCACATTCATTCCACAGACTGAAAAGCCCTGGTAGAATTATTAAAATCTAAATGTTTAATGACAATCATTAAACATTTTTACAAAATTTATGCTTCTCCATTCTCCCATGGAGAAGCAAAATGCTCCTTCATGGAATAAATAAAAGGTGACCTTAGTAAATTGAAATAATCAAATAGTTAATAATGAAAATTTATCAAAATTACTGTTATGACAATTATATTGTTTATATGTATTCAATGTTGCGCATTTTGATGTGACGTCACATTTCTCAACCCCCCCCCCCCTCGTCACACATCGTCATAAATGTCTGAACCCCCTCCCCCCGCCCCCTAGGTGTGTGACGTCATTTATGGACGGCCCCTTTCCCTAAAATTCCTACTTACCCCCGAATTCCAGTTTACCCTCAAATTCCGGCTTACCCCCGAAATCCGGCTCACTCTCGAATTCCGATTTATCCCAAAATTCCGGCTTATCCTCAAATTCCGGCTCACCCCCAAATCCCGGCGCACCCAGAATTCTGGCTTACGTCCGAATTCCGTCTTACCCCACCCTCCCAATTTCAACTCACGCCCTTGAATTTCATCTCACCCCCTTGAATTTCAACTCACCCCCTTGAATTTCATCTCACCCCCTTGAATTTCAACTCACCCCCTTGAATTTCAACTCACCCCCTTGAATTTCAACTCACCCCCTTGAATTTCATCTCACCCCCTTGAATTTCAACTCACGCCCTTGAATTTCATCTCACCCCCTTGAATTTCAACTCACCCCTTGAATTTCATCTCACCCCCTTGAATTTCATCTCAACCCCTTGAATTTAATCTCATCCCTTGAATTTCAACTCACCCCTTGAATTTCAACTCACCCCCTTGAATTTCAACTCACCCCTTGAATTTCATCTCACCCCCTTGAATTTCATCTCACCCTCTTGAATTTAATCTCATCCCCTTGAATTTCATCTCACTCACTTGAATTTCATCTCACCCCCTTGAATTTCAACTCACCCCCTTGAATTTCAACTCACCACCTTGAATTTCATCTCACCCCCTTGAATTTCAACTCACCCCCTTGAATTTCAACTCACCCCCTTGAATTTCAACTCACCCCCTTGAATTTCAACTCACTCCCTTGAATTTCATCTCACCCCCTTGAATTTCAACTCACCCCCTTGAATTTCATCTCACCCCCTTGAATTTCATCTCATCCCCTTGAATTTCATCTCACCCCCTTGAATTTCATCTCACCCCCTTGAATTTCATCTCACCCCCTTGAATGTCAACTCACCCCCTTGAATTTCAACTCACCCCCTTGAATTTCATCTCACCCCCTTGAATTTCATCTCACCCCCTTGAATTTCATCTCACCCCCTTGAATGTCAACTCACCCCCTTGAATTTCAACTCACCCCCTTGAATTTCATCTCACCCCCTTGAATTTCAACTCACCCCCTTGAATTTCAACTCACCCCCCTTGAATTTCATCTCACCCCCTTGAATTTCAACTCACCCCTTGAATTTCATCTCACCCCCTTGAATTTCAACTCACCCCCTTGAATTTCATCTCACCCCCTTGAATTTCATCTCACCCCCTTGAATTTCAACTCACCCCTTGAATTTCATCTCACCCCCTTGAATTTCATCTCACCCCCTTGAATTTCAAATCACCCCCTTGAATTTCAACTCACCCCCTTGAATTTCATCTCACCCCCTTGAATTTCATCTCACCCCCTTGAATTTCAACTCACCCCCTTGAATTTCAACTCACCCCTTGAATTTCAACTCACCCCCTTGAATTTCATCTCACCCCCTTGAATTTCAAATCACCCCCTTGAATTTCAACTCACCCCTTGAATTTCATCTCACCCCCTTGAATTTCATCTCACCCCCTTGAATTTCAACTCACCCCCTTGAATTTCAACTCACCCCCTTGAATTTCATCTCACCCCCTTGAATTTCATCTCACTCCCTTGAATTTCAACTCACCCCCTGGAATTTCCGGCTCACCTTGAATTTCAACTCACCCCCTTGAATTTCAACTCACCCCTTGAATTTCATCTCACCCCCCTTGAATTTCAACTCACCCCCTTGAATTTCATCTCACCCCCTTGAATTTCATCTCACCCCCTTGAATTTCATCTCACCCCCTTGAATTTCATCTCACCCCCTTGAATTTCAACTCACCCCCTTGAATTTCATCTCACCCCCTTGAATTTCAACTCATCCCCTTGAATTTCAACTCACCCCTTGAATTTCAACTCACCCCCTTGAATTTCATCTCACCCCCTTGAATTTCATCTCACCCCCTTGAATTTCATCTCACCCCCTTGAATTTCAACTCATCCCCTTGAATTTCAACTCACCCCTTGAATTTCAACTCACCCCCTTGAATTTCATCTCACCCCCTTGAATTTCATCTCACCCCCTTGAATTTCATCTCACCCCCTTGAATTTCATCTCACCCCCTTGAATTTCATCTCACCCCCTTGAATTTCATCTCACCCCCTTGAATTTCATCTCACCCCCTTGAATTTCATCTCACCCCCTTGAATTTCATCTCACCCCCTTGAATTTCAACTCACCCCCTTGAATTTCATCTCACCCCCTTGAATTTCATCTCACCCCCTTGAATTTCATCTCACCCCCTTGAATTTCATCTCACCCCCTTGAATTTCAACTCACCCCCTTGAATTTCATCTCACCCCCTTGAATTTCATCTCACCCCCTTGAATTTCATCTCACCCCCTTGAATTTCATCTCACCCCCTTGAATTTCATCTCACCCCCTTGAATTTCAACTCACCCCCTTGAATTTCAACTCACCCCCTTGAATTTCAACTCATCCCCTTGAATTTCATCTCACCCCCTTGAATTTCAACTCACCCCCTTGAATTTCAACTCACCCCCTTGAATTTCAACTCACCCCCTTGAATTTCCGGCTTCGGCGACGATCCCGGCGAGGAGGAGGCTCCTCCCCCCCCCCCTTCCTTGCTCGCGACAGCTTTGCTGCGACACCTCGTTTCACGACACCTCCTCGTTTCACGACACACCCTCGTTTCACATCGCGGCCTTTGGCGCGCGTGCCCCTCGCAGCTTTACGGCAAGGTGGGTGGGGGGTTGTTGGCGACGTTTCGCGATGGCAGACGCTGGCGAGCCCGGCACCTCAGCGTCGCTCCGCTCCCGCTTCGACGGGGCCGCCTCCCGGGTGTCCGTGCTGGCGTCCAGCCTGCCCAGGGACGCGCTGCTGCAGCTGTACGCGCGGTACAAGCAGGTGAGCGACGGCGGCCTCCGCCGTGCGCCGCTGCGACGCAGGTCGCGGAGTACGGGGGGGGGGGGTGGAGATAGGCCCGCGTCTCCTAGTTTCTTGGCCGCAGCCTGTAGCCTAGGCCCCCCGCTGAGGGGATGGCCGTGACGAGGGGTTCGAGTGAGAGGGGACCGGGTGAGGTGGTGGTGGTGGTGGTGGGTGGGTGGGGGGCCTCAGGCGCAGCTGCCTCGGCTGGTGAAAGGCAGCGGAGGTGGGTGGCACAGTGGGGGGAGCGCAAGTGTGGTGCGTGTGTTCCAGTCGTCTCGTCGACCCACGTGCAACCACCTTTTTTACCCGGTGATCATCCCGCAGCGAACAGCTCCGCACTTGAACCGTGGGCCGCGAGGTGCACCTGGCCTGGCACGAGCGCTGTGGCGAATAGGCGGGGCGATTTTGTGAAGTTAAATAACAATCAGAATGTTTATTTAATACTGGAGGCATCCGATGACCTATGAAGCAATTTTTTTTTCACACTCAACGGATGTCCAGTAGGGGCAGGTCAGAACGTTACAACCTCAAAATATACAAAAACCCGAAAAGAGTTCAAAGTATAGGAATGGTAAACAAGTTAATTAATATATACAACTAAAACTAAGCAATGTTTCTTACATTACCACTGCTACTCGCTTCTTATTCAGAAGAGACCTGGCCACAAATGATAGCTCAACGAAGTGGCTTATCATGTGAAATAATACTAGAGCGTTAGTCATTGTGGGGTTTTTAGGATATCGTACGATGTAAGGTTGACCATAATCGTGTCGTTTTCAAAATACAATTATTGTTGCTCATGTTATCATAACTGTCTCATCTGCCGACAAACAGAAAATAAACCGAGCATTTAAACTTGTAATTAGCTATGCTTTGTTAAATGTGTGCTTTGAAAAATGTGGGTGTTTTTTTTCTGAATAATTAACGGCATAGACCATTCCAGCGCATGGTTGGGGCAGGTCGCTTGTGAAAAGGAGCTGTATAACGTAGTGGACCTTAACTTGTCAATATTCTGGAGCTAAATGCCACTTTATAGAGGTTTGCTGGCCACGAGAGGGCTTCACGAGAGAGAGAGAGTTCGTGTAGATTTGGTATTTCCCCATTTAAGGAATAGCAGATCAAAGTACAGGGGATTATTATATGATCCATAGTTCTGGCTGCATGGCCAAAATCGCATTACTGCGGCTTGTGTTTAATGTATCTCTATGGGTCTCAATGTGTCTATTGGCTTACTGTTTGGTCCATAGTTTTGCCACAGTCGCACTCCTAATTTTCCAACGGCATAGTTACATAGAACGGCATTTAGCATTATGTATGTGATGGACACAATGTGCATTATAAACGTTATGTAGCAAGTTATTATTTGTAAGACTTAAGGTAGGGTTATATTGAGTGAACTGCAGTTGAAATGTTTTTCGTACCGTCGTACAGCAAAGCAGAAAACAAGAAGATATAAATGTAACCTATAATTACTAAATTAATGGGAAATCAAGATTAATGGAAACTGATATTGGAATGATCGCGATATTGTGCGATTTGATATTGTATCGTGAAAAATTATATTACGACCACCCCTGTAAATCACCAAGTCACTATGTTCACAGTTGGCATATTCTTAGTCTGAGCAAACAAAAGCGTTTGGAAATCAGTAGGACATATTGGATTATGAATCTTGTATGTGGTGTACACCCTGCAGGAGTGTTGTATGATATTAATATAACACTCTCCTCTTGCGTGCATGTCACCAGGCTTCCATTGGCAAATGCAACACAACTAAGCCAGGCTTGTTTGACTTTGAAGGCAAGCAAAAATGGTAAGCTCTATTTATGAGTTGCTGCGTGCCGGGTGATAGATTTATCCATTCATTACTTGACTTGTTCGCCTGCATCCAGAGCAGTAATACAATTGTGTTGATTGCGTAATGATGCATCGATTCATCAGCTCGTAATACCTGCATTACATTACATGTGTAAGAATATTATTGGTTCTTTCGGTAAAGTCACGTTGAAGGGAAGCAATAAAATAATAAAATATATAAAACAATATAAAATATATATAAAACAATATATATTTTATCATTTTATTGTTTCCCTTCAACGTGAGGAGAGTGTTATATTAATATAAAACAATATGTATTTTATTGTTTCCCTTCAACGTGACTTTACCGAAAGAACCAAGAATATGAATCACTGCAGTCACGAAAGCTTTAAATCAAAATGTGTAAGAATGTTTTTCAACTCATAATGTATACAGTAAAGAATGGGTTCACATGGCCAGTATAGCCACAATTGTCCGATGTATTCACCACAATATCAAAATAATTGATTCTTGAATATAATTGTGACATAGAATATTAACAGTTCATTGAATCGATGGGTGGGATGCATGTACACCTGTAGTGTGGCGAGATGTTAACTACCTCGCCTGGTATACAGGAGGGGACATGGTTTCAAGCCTGAACCTGACACTGGTATATTTAGAGTTTGCATGTTCTCCCCGTGATCGCGTGAATTTTTCCATCCACATTTAGAAATATGTGCTTTGAGTATTTGGCTGCTGTACATTTACACATGATAAGCCACTTCTTTGCGCTATCATTTGTGGCCAGGTCGCTTCTGCAAAAGAGCTATATAGCTCAGTGGGCCTTACCTGCTAAAATATAAAGAGTTTAGTAGTTTCAGTAAAACATTTTATATTACAGAGCTCTGGAGGTTTCATCGAACATTTTTAGTTACACGGATACATTGTCTGCAAGTATCTGCGCAGCTGTTTGTGGAGAATCTGCAGACATCGAATGATGATATTTCACAGATGTCAGCGGGTGTCGCACAAGTGCACAACCATTGCAGTAATTGTTAAGCATCATCAACTGGGATGAATGCACAAAGGCCTTTTGGTGCTTGCAAGAGGGTCTCCTACTTCTTAAAACGAATGTGTTCAGTCATGGTCAGGGCATGCATGAAGGTGTCCGCTCTCAGTGGGCAAGCAGTGCCTTAAGGGAAATTCGAATGGCCCACGACTAAACTGCTTACAGATTCACTTTAATAGGTTATATCCAACACTAGACGCCACTGTTACATTCTGTAATTGGTGTTTTGCTGCATGTCATTTTCACCGTGTATATTTCAGCTCTCGGTGTAGAACAAGGCTGAAACTCAGTAGGTGTTTGGAACCATGTGTAAATAACCACGAGGAACAGTGATGCAAAAGCTGTTGGGTTAGATACTGATCCTATCAGAGATTGTGCAGACTGCTGATTGTGCCATCCTAAGGGTGGCGAGATGTTAACTACCTCGTCTGGAATGCTGGATGGCTTCGGTTTGATCCCGACCCTGACGCCTGTATATTTGGAGTGTGCATGTTCTCCCCGTGCTTGTGCGGATTTTTCTCCGAGTCGTCCAGTTTTTCTCTCCACATGTAGAAATATGCGTTTAGAGTATTTGGCTGCTTATAAATTTCCATGTGATAAGCTACTTGGTTGAACTGTAATTTGTGGTCAGGTCACTTCTGAAAAATAGCTATATGGCTCAATTAAACAAGTTGAGTTATATTTTGATTTAAAGCTTTCGTGACTGCAGGGATTCATATTTTTTGTTCTTTCGGTAAAGTCACGTAGAAGGGAAACAATAAAGAGCCAAGAATAAGTTTAGTTATAGTTTAATAGATTCTAGCAACATTTTAGCACTTATTTTGGGTAAAGAAACAATCCATGCTGTTTGCATATGAATTAACCTTAGTGTGTGCACATTTATGTACCTGTGTGTTGTTGTGTTTTAGGGAGGCATGGAATGCACTGGGAGCCATGTCAAAAGAGCAGGCTATGACTGAATATCTCGCTCTAGTCAATAAACTGGATCCCCAGTGGTCGGAGCAGGTGAGTAAGCTTTTAGGTGTGCTCTAGCCTAGAAAATGGTATACGTTGCATGGCATATGTGTATTTGTCTGCACATGATGTTAAAATATAACAGAAATCAAATGTGTGTGGCCATCTGGCCCTTATTGTCACAAGCTGTCATGTTTATCACTTGTGTCTATGGTGGTCTAATTGTCATTTACAATTGTTACCACAGTTGTTTAAAGCCCCTTCTATAAATGAGCTACAGTGTGCATCCTGTGTCATATCTGTGCTTGTACATACTCTATGTACAGGCTTCCAGTTTTAGTCAGCTACACGTAGCAATGCAATGCATATCGCGTAACCAGTAATTTGATGGGGCACCTGCAGTGTACGTGGAGGACAGAAGTTAACTAACAATAACATTTTAAAGTGATAAAAAAATCACCAGCAATAAAATAGCCTTATAATTACATCTTAATAGCGTGAACCCTTGACTCTTTTGAAACTTGTTTGGATAAGACTGACTGATGGGTGGGTTCAGCGATGGGCAGTTTTGGTTAAAAAGCAAAAATAGTAAAATTTCGATTTGAAGCTTTTGTGACTGCAAGGATTCATCTTCTTTGGTTCTTTCGGTAAAGTCACGTAGAATGAGAATAAAATAATAAAATAACACAATAAAATTCTCACGACGTTTCGGCCACAACGCAAGCGGCCGTCTTGAGGTGAAAGGTCGTCCCGACAGTTCTGTACCTTTCACCTGAAGACGGCCGCTTGCGTTGTGGCCGAAACGTCGTGAGAATTTTATTGTGTTATTTTATTATTTTATTTTCATTCTACGTGACTTTACCGAAAGAACCAAAGAAGAGCAAAAATAGTAGGTAAGGGCTCAGGGAGTCAACTATTTCAAGGGAGACCTGGATAGATAAATGGGGCAGATGTGACCTTAAGTAGGCTTTTAGAGTACAGGCGTTAAGCCTATTGGCTGTCTTTTAAATGGAATAGGATCACCATTTGATCTTTTTCCTGTCTATGAAGTGACTGGGCCTGTCAAATGAGCGTGGAATTACCACCACTGCCACAGGTCGTAGACACACATTAAGTGCCTCCCCACATTAACTCGAGTGGGGAAACTGCTGACTCGTGTCACTCACATGAATGCTGCCGACCTTGGATGTGCGCCTCTCTCGACCCGCACAGGTGAATTTGGAAGGGAACCGCAAAGTCACGTCGGGCTTTGGCCCCGTTATGAGCTCACTCTACAAGGAGGAGATCATCAGGTGAGTGTTGATGGTGGACGGCGGTGGTAACTGCCTTTCAGCGAGCCGTTTTACAATTCCGTCGTCCCATGTTCATTCCCAGCACTTTAACACCAACGGCAAATTAGGCATTTGAACCTGGCCTGTGGCTCACCTTGGTTGACGCAAACTAAAATGTATAATATTATGTTCATTAATGTGAATAAGAGCGCTAGCAGTGAGGCAAAGGCTGCTTTGTGTGGGCGGTGCTGGTCAGACCTCCCCTTTGGTGTTATTTGCTGACCTATATAGGTGCTCTAAAACAAGGAAAAGCAAGCAAAATGAGCTATAAGACTAAACTGAACATCTTAAGAACATGCGTGTTCAGTACAGCTTCGTATGCCTGCGAGACATGGACGTAAAAAAGACTGACAGAGCTAAGATATTGGCACTCGAAATGTAATGCGACAGAAGGATACTTAATCTAAGCTGAACCAAGAAGAGGGTTGTGCATAGAAGAATACCTGATGATGCAGGCAGTGATGAGTAGGAATCTGGAACTATTTGGACACACGTGTAGGATGGACAACAACAGGAACATTAAAAGTGTTGTTCGGGGAAAAATGGAAGGAACAGGAAAGGGAGGAAGACCTAATAGAGAATGGCTTCTTGATGACGACATAAGAGATTGGTGTCAGAAAGATGTGGTACTACTTGAGCATATTGGCACAGGACAGAGGAAAGTAGAAACAAATGACGACATGTGCAGTGGAGACCTACGGGCTATCTGCCCATGGATTGTGATGATGTGATGATGAAAACAGCATGTGCCTCCACCAGTTGGTATGACCATTATATTTTTTATGAAGAAATCGCTCGTGAAAGCTCATTGTATGGTTCTGATTGTATGAACGTGTGTGCAGGGAGGAGGACAAGACTGTATTTGATCATTGCAAAGATAATGAGGTGAACCGACTGGCAGCAGCCCTCAAACAAGATGCCTTTGACATAAACCAGCGAGATGAGGAGGTGCGTGTACCTGTGTGTGTGTGAAAGAAGTTCTACATACATACACGTAATAATTATACGCCTTTACAGAATGCAGACTTGTGTAATTGTGCGTGCGAGCTGTGTTTGTGTGTGGTAGCTCACTACGAGAAGCTCCTCTTTGATTTTAGTGGCAACAGCTATATTTAAAGCATTGCTTAGGACCAAATCACCCGGAATGTGCTCGATCTTGTCAGATCTGAGAAGCTGAGCAGAGTCTGAGCCTGGATAATGCCTGAATGGGCAAACACCTTTGCTTAAACTGTTATCGATTGATGAAATTCGTGGTGGGAAGAGGGCAGTGCAGCGAAATGCATTGTTGTACTGCCCTCCTATGCTCCCATGTCTGCTCCCGGCCTTCACCGACCTGCACCTACCATCATGGTGAAGTCATCCGTGTCGTGGTTCTCATCCAGCGGCGGATTGACAAGAGGGTACTTGTCCATTTGAAGCATCGTCAGTTGGTTAATTTGCCCTGCTGTACAATGTGCTTTGTTAAACTAGTACTCAAATGTGGCTTCTGTGGGACTGGCTGCACCAGCCACTCATACATTGCTGGCCTGTAATCAGTAACACCCTTTGTAGCCAGGTAAGGATCCATGAAGAAATTAATTGCTTTAAAAAAATTGCGAAATTCAACATAAGCATCGTATTGACCACACCACCCCAATCATGAGCCACGCTAGCCCTAAATAGTGCTTACTGACAGCACTTGAATCCGTTTATGAGCTATAAGGGATAATAATGGTCTCTTCTGTATGTGCGTGCTTTATCATACTTAATGTGCACGGCAAGAGGAGGGCCTTCATTTCGCAGTGGATTGACAAAGGGCCATAAGTTAACCATCGTCTGTGTGTGTAACTTGCGTGTGTGCAGGGACGCACACTGCTCCACTGGGCCTGTGATCGCGGGCACCTTGAGACGGTGGAACTTCTGTTGAAGCGTGGCGCAAATGTCAACTCGCAGGTAGTACCGGCCGACGTGCACATGTTGGGGTGGTTGGTGGAGCAGCTATGCCGGCTATGTTGGCAGTATGGCAAGTGTGGGCTAGGTTCCATCTGTCCCATCTGTATGGGATAGAGTGTTACCCCCTTGTGCAGGGGTGGGTTTTCTCCCAGTGCTCTGGTTTCTCCCCTCATGTATAAACACTCACCATGATTAATTGGCTGAAAACGTTTTAATATGTGCGCCTCCATGTTCGCACATTGGGCAGTGTTGTGTGATGCACTATATAAAAACTCAACATTTTTATTGATGTATGCCAGTGTGTTTGTATATTAACGATCTGTTTGGCATCCTAAACTGATCTTGGCCTCTATTCGGTTGACTCAACTTCAAATATGTACTTGGTACAGCATGTGAGCATCATAACTGGGGATATCTGCAGCGAGGTATGATGTTGGCTACACCACCACCACCTTGTATGTCGTTCCAGTCTTAACGGGTGCTCACTAACAACACGTGCCCCTGTGGTGTACAAGGATAAACAGTGGATCCTTGCAATTCTGCTGCTGTGTTCATCATGATAAGTGAATGGTGGAGCTGGCTGCATATATTTGTTTGGCGGTTGATGGCGTCAATGATATCATAGCATCTACCCTGTCACTGGAGCGCTGTGGTGGTGAGATGTTAACTACCTTGCCTGGTATACAAGAGGTTGTGGGTTCGATCCTGACTGACACCTCTATATTTGGTCTCATGGATTTTTCTCCGGGTCCTCCAGTTTTTCCCTCCACATTTATAAACATGCATTTAGAGTATTTGGCTGCTATACATTTCCACATGATAAACCACTTGTTGGGCCATTATTTGTGGTCCAGGTCGCTTCTGAAAAAGAGCTATATAGCTCAATGGCCCTTACCTGCTAAAATAAAAAGAGTAACTAGTTAATACCAGTGGTGCCTGCACCAATTACCAGGCCTGGTGGTGCACGCCTGAAAACCAGCACCATGGAGGCAAGGCTGTTGGATGAATACAATACAATTTGGATTTATATATTGTCTAAAATGTAGCCACATCTCAAGACACTGCATGGACTAGTGGCCATATGTATTACGTAGTGAAACGTAGACAAAGACTGAGATCACCTGTATAGCCTTAACAGACTGTTGGGGCAAGTGCTGTTAGCAAGCATCTATGAAGGCTGACACGGTACACTAGGGGGTAGGTGGCCAGCACCGCGCCTTTGACCGCCTTTGTTTCCCAGTGGTGATGATTTTTATACACCGTATCAGGTCCTCATTTGAGGCTGAGTCGACCTATGGGAGGCCCAGGAGCGATTACAATCATCGTCACTGGTGTTGGCCATGAGCGGGAATCGAACTCAGATCACCGCGACACCTAAACGGAGATTTATACACACACACCATTGGTTGCTGTAAAACTCCCAACGTGTAGAGATGCGAGGTGACCAGGAGATGGCAGTACATCAAACGGATGGATTTGTGACCCATTTATGGATGTTTCTTGTCCGCTTTGTAAGCATAATTTTTCTCCCGCTACTATGGTATCCTGAAAATGTTTTAAAATAAAAAAATAAGTTGCCCAACACCCAAGTGCTCACCCCCCTCCAGAGAGATGTTGAGGCTTTCCTGGGTAGAACTGCTTTTTGTGTTTGAGTCGGTTGTCCTCCCTCCGCACCTACGATTGGCACGGTTGGCGATGCACGGTGTGCAAGAAGTTCAACATGCGTACGTCAATAAACCGTTACTGGGCACGCGACAAATTGCCATGCTCACAATTCGATGAATCGTGTTGATTGGGGATCACATTGTGATTCAATAATTATTTTATTAGCTGTGGCGGGGGTATCGAAAGCCCCTTTTGGCCGCAGGGTTTACATGAACCAGTTTCATCATGGAATCAGAAATAATTGATATTCACACGCACGGTGCCTCTGTTCATATAATAAATATCCTTTATGAATTGATGCATTGCTAATTATTTGCTTGATCACATCCCCATCATGTGTTTGTTCATCCAGTCTAGCTCTGAAAATAATGTATAATAATGGACATTTGATCATGGAGCGGAAACTCTCTATCGAGCCTTGTAGTATTGACTGAGAGGCATATTGAAATGACCACAGTGTTTGTCTTGTTTGGAAGCAGGTTGTGGATGTTTAATGGCCTAAACCTGTGTGATTTGTGGCAGGACGATGAGGGACAGACAGCTCTGCATTATGGTGAGTTGCCACACGTGGATAGAGACATGCATGTACACACTCACACCTATCTGGCACGCATGCACACTCACACTGCATTTACTGGATAATGCACTCTCGAGCACATTTGTATCCACTGATACGCCTTTTCCCTGATGGTGCCATTGGGCTTGTGACATAAAATTGCTTGATTCAGCCCATCATCATTCTGGGGGTCGATAAAAACGAACACCACCTTGTCGAAAAGGCTTCATAGAGTCACCGGCTCCATCTACAGCAATGGAAAATATCCACCACTGGCTTCCCGCTGTTAAGCGAGATGAGTATTGAGTGGAGAAACACGTTTATTTTTGATGACACGTAATTACCCCTTACACTTGCGTGTGCATTTCATGTCGTGTTAGTACCGCGCACATTGAGCTGTGCACATTTTTCGGTGGACACTCAAACCCTTCTGTCTCCCATTTCTTTCGCTTGCACACAGAGCAGCCACCTGTAGATTGCCCGAGCCTCATGCTGTACCTGAACACGCGTCGGCTAACGACATGCCCGTATGCCCTGCCCCCTTGCTCAATGGGACAAGCGTGCGGCTGCGACTTCCCAGCCGCCGTTCGTCTTCTCCTGGCATTTGGTGCCGACCCATCGATCCCCGACTCGGAGGGGACGCTACCCTCCCAGCTGGCCGACACCGCGCAGACCGCACAGGCTCTCACGCAGACGGGATAGCACCGCCCACACTCGCCCACAGGCAGGCTGCCTCAACACGGCAATCAACGCTACTCTTCTCGCACCACAGACGTGCGCTCGCTTTGGATGGCAGATGCCCGATTGGGCTGGCACCATCCGCGTGTTCACGCAGACTCCCACCAGCACCACAGGCCGTGTTTGTGTGACCGGTTTTGAGTAGGTTGGGCACGGATACTGCTATCGTCCTTTTATCCACCCTTGATTGGACCTGGTTTATGAGTGTTAGAGAGTTGATGGTCTCAGCCTGGTCACCAATGGTCACTTAATTTGGAATATTAAAGTTTTGATTAATATATGAACATCACCGTTACGGCAAAGCACTCTTGCGGGTCATGCAGCATTGCAACTTGTGACTTCGCAGGAAGATCCGTGATGTCACGTTCCAGTGCCATTCTCGGACAGTGCGTAATGTTGCACGGCTCGCTGTGAGAGTTTTCGAAAGGTCATTGCTTTTCTCAAGAGCGCAATGGCTGTACACATCAAACGGAATATAAATGGGAGAGAAAGAACCTCGGCATCGGTGGCTGGGCTTGTCACCTGCTCCGTGACCAAAGTGGCTTAAAGTTCCATTTAGTCTAGTTTAATAGTCTCTTGTTACGTTTCATTTTATCCCCTTCAAGTTTTTTTTTTTAATCGAAGCTTTTCTGAGTTTGAAACTATTACAAGTGCGCAGCGCATTGTTACCCACCTGCAGCCACCAAGGAGCTGGGGTTTGTTTTTGCCAGTCATTCAAATTAAAACAAAGATACCCCGTATAGCCTAAACAGACTGTTGGGGCAAGTGCTGGTAGCGAGTAGCACCTATGAAGGCCAGAACGGCACATAAAGGGGGTGGGTGGCCAGCACCACGCCCGGCCGCCTTTGTCTCCCTAGTGGCAATATTTACGCGTCATGCCAGGTACTCATTTGAGGCTGAGTCGACCTAGCGGATGCCCAGGACCGATTCAGATAATCGTCACTGGTGTCGGCCGTGAGCGGGAATTGAACTCGGGACGTTGGGTCCGTAGCGCAGCGCGCTAACCGCTACAATACCGCTCCCCACAATACAAACTAAACACACATCCACATGCATATGTAAACACTTATACACACTTTCGTATATAATTACACTCTAGGGCACAATCACGGCACAGTCACGTAAATAGTACAAAGATTAAGATCCTCATAGCCTTTAACCGAATGCTGGGATGGCGCTGTTAATAACATTCACAGCCCTTTGCCAATCCACTGCTGGATGAAAACCTCCCAAAGTCACGTCAGTCATCAGGTTTGATTGACCATACTACACCACATTGGTCATTGTGAGTTGGTGAAGGGAGGCCCGAAACTGATGTATATTTCACTACGAACTGACGTTAGCTGTGGCTGGGAACATGAACTCGGGCCACTGGGTTCACAGCACAGTGCATTAACCCCTGTGCCGCCGCTCCCCACAAACAACGCAAAGATATACATACACACACAATGCAAACGTATAGACAATAGACTTCTACACATTCATACATGGTTAAACATGAACACACATTTTAAACGTTCGCAAATAATTTTGCACAAGCATCGCTCGGACGCGTAAATATTCACATGCAAAGTCACACTCTCATACGATCAGTGGTCACAATGTAAATGTAGAAGTACCGGTGTGAAACCTATTCATCCTCAACCCAATGTTTCACTGCCGTCTCCACTCTGCGGAGACATCGTAGAATAGGAACCGTTCCGAAATGTACTGGTAGAAAGGACTGGTGTTCTGAGAAGTTCTGGTATATTTCCACCACTGTATATGACAACATATACACTTAAAACGAACACACCCACATACACACACAGTGAAACGCGGTGTAGAAAAGCATAAACACGCGTACAAAATAGGCTGTGCAAGTTTATAAACACGGCTCTGGTCCTCTTTACATGCCGACCACTTAAAACTGGTCATGGAAATGAAATGTTTGTACGCTTGAATCAGGATTCATGCACTTACATGCATGTACACAGCAAGTCCTCGTTTATCGCACTCGTCATGTATGCGTTTATGAAAAAGTGCAGCATTTAGCGAAAACGGCATCGAGCGAAAACAATTCCCCCCATAAATGTAACGGTAACATTTGGCCGGATGCAGTGGATGCGCGCACAGCGAGAAAGCGAGACCAATAGCTGCGGGTATGCACCGGCGTGTTGCCGTAGCTCTCCGCGCAGCGTGTCACTGCACCGCTCGGCCACGCAGCTTCGACAGAGTAGTCCGGCGTCGACCCCTCGGAAAGCGCATTCGAACGGTGCGTGCACGAAAAGCGTTCCATAACGGTAGGAGCGCGTCGTGCCGAAAGCACCGTCGCGTGAGTGCGCGTTAAGCGAGGGCTTGCCGTACTGGCACGAACATGCCACACTCACTGCAGCTTGTAGCATCTCCACCGGTGCGCAACACATGCCACGTGGCCTGTGAACTGTCGAACATTGATGTATGACGATGGTTTTGGGCAGCTCCGTTCAGACTCGCGTTGCCATCCACAAACTTTACCGGTCACAGCAAAAAATTACTTACAAATGAGCGCTTGCACACAAGTCTACTCCCCCAACCCTGTGATGTACATATATTTGAGTGATGTATTAATATAGCTCCAATGACAGCAGGATATTGATAATTGAAAAAATAAATTGCGTACTCATTCGGCCTATCATTGTTTTTTGTGACATTAATTTATTTCTTTAATTTAATTATTTTATTGCATGCCGTTCACAATTCTCTTTGGAACGATTAACACAAGGTCACCAGTCCAAAGAACGTGTGGTGTATAAATGGGTACGTTATGCAAGCCGTTGTTTTAATAAAAAAAAACATACACAAAGGAATGAGGCACTCGTGTTGTATACGATGCAGTTTTGTGTTTTCAAGACTTTCGTAATGCTTTTCTCTATTAATTTTCACATATTGGCCATGGACATCCATGTATGTAACTCACCACGGGTGCAGCTCCCATTTGGAAGGTCCCAAGAGTTCAATGAAGCCATCGTCACTGCGCTCGATACAATTCTTGCCACTTTGGGAAGCGAAAATTGGTCATCGTCTGCTGGAGGAGAGTTGGATCCCCCCTGCGGAATGTCTGCCACTCTTGGGAGCCACGTGTTTATATCAGAATCATGAATCTTTATTTATACACTGCAGAAATCTGATGAGCTGCGAAGCTCTTTTTCACATCTCCTGTGGGGGGTCAGAAAGTTACAACAACAACAAACAATACTAAAAAACCGATAGGAACGCAAATTGTAGGAAAAGTCATCAAAACACTAAAAATAAATACGTTAAATAGATCATGTAAATTCTCATTGCAAAAGTACAATTCCCAAGCTTGTCCAAAGCAGCAAACAAGCTATGATGTGTCAACATAAGCATTGTGCTGGCCACACCAAAGTATAGGAAGGAAGTAAATCACTAAAATAAACTAAACTTTGTATTTATTCGATCAGCTACAGTGAGGGAAAAAAGTATTTGATCCCCTGATGATTTTGTACGTTTGCCCACTGACAAAGAAATGATCAGTCTATAATTTTAATGGTAGGTTTATTTGAACAGTGAGAGAATAACAAACAAAAATCCAGAAAAACGCATGGCAAAAATGTTATAAATTGATTGGCATTTTAATGAGGGAAATAAATATTTGACCCCTCTGCAAAACATGACTTAGTACTTGGTGGCAAAACCCTTGTTGGCAATCACAGAGGTCAGACGTTTCTTGTAGTTTGCACACATCTCAGGAGGGATTTTGTCCCACTCCTCTTTGCAGATCTTCTCCAAGTCATTAAGGTTTCGAGGCTGATGTTTGGCAATTCGAACCTTCAGCTCCCTCCACAGATTTTCTATGGGATTAAGGTCTGGAGACTGGCTAGGCCATTCCAGGACATTAAAGTGCTTCTTCTTGAGCCACTCCTTTGTTGCCTTGGCCATGTGTTTTGGGTCATTGTCATGCTGGAATACCCATCCACGACCCATTTTCAATGCCCTGGCTGAGGGAAAGAGGTTCTCACCCAAGATTTGACGGTACATGGCCCCGTCCATCGTCCCTTTGATGTGGTGAAGTTGTCCTGTCCCCTTAGCAGAAAACACCCTCAAAGCATAATGTTTCCACCTCCATGTGTGACGGTGGAGATGGTGTTCTTGGGGTCATAGGCAGCATTCCTCCTCCAAACACGGCTAGTTGAGTTGATGCCAAAGAGCTCCATTTTGGTCTCATCTGACCATAACACTTTCACACAGTTGTCCTCTGAATCATTCAGATTTTCACTGGCAAACTTCAGACGGGCATGTATATCTGCTTTCTTGAGCAGGGGGACCTTGCGGGCGCTGCAGGATTTCAGTCCTTCACGGCGTAGTGTTACCAATTGTTTTCTTGGTGACTATGGTCCCAGCTGCCTTGAGATCATTGACAAGATCCTCCCGTGTAGTTCTGGGCTGATTCCTCACCGTTCTCATGATCATTGCAACTCCACGAGGTGAGATCTTGCATGGAGCCCCAGGCTGAGGGAGATTGACAGTTCTTTTGTGTTTCTTCCATTTGCGAATAATCACACCAACTGTTGTCACCTTCTCGCCAAGCTGCTTGGCAATGGTATTGTAGCCCATTCCAGCCTTGTGTAGGTCTACAATCTTGTCCCTTACATCCTTGGATAGCTCTTTGGTCTTTGCCATGGTGGAGAGTTTGGAATCTGATTGATTGCTTCTGTGGACAGGTGTCTTTTATACAGGTAACAGATTTGCATTTTAATGAGGGAAATAAGTATTTGACCCCTCTGCAAAACATGACTTAGTACTTGGTGGCAAATCCTTTCTTGGCAATCACAGAGGTCAGACGTTTCTTGAAGTTGGCCACCAGGTTTGCACACATCTCAGGAGGGATTTTGTCCCACTCTTTGCAGATCTTCTCCAAGTCATTAAGGTTTCGAGGCTGACGTTTGGCAACTCAAACCTTCAACTCCCTCCACAGATTTTCTATGGGATTAAGGTCTGGAGACTGGCTAGGACACTCCAGGACATTAAAGTGCTTCTACTTGAGCCACTCATTTGTTGCCTTGGCCATGTGTTTTGGGTCATTGTCATGCTGGAATACCCATCCACGACCCATTTTCAATGCCCTGGCTGAGGGAAGGAGGTTCTCACCCAAGATTTGATGGTACATGGCCCCGTCCATCGTCCCTTTGGTGCGGTGAAGTTGTCCTGTCCCCTTAGCAGAAAACACCCCCAAAGCATAATGTTTCCACCTCCATGTTTGACGGTGGGGATGGTGTTCTTGGGGTCATAGGCAGCATTCCTCCTCCTCCAAACACGGCGAGTTGAGTTGATGCCAAAGAGCTCCATTTTGGTCTCATCTGACCACAACACTTTCACCCAGTTGTCCTCTGAATCATTCAGATGTTCATTGGCAAACTTCAGACGGGCATGTATATGTGCTTCCTTGAGCACGGGGACCTTGCGAGTGCTGCAGGATTTCAGTCCTTCACGGCGTAGTGTGTTACCAATTGTTTTATTGGTGACTATGGTCCCAGCTGCCTTGAGATCATTGACAAGATCCTCCCGTGTACTTCTGGGCTGATTCCTCACCGTTCTCATGATCATTGCAACTCCACGAGGTGAGATCTTGCATGGAGCCCCAGGCCGAGGGAGATTGACAGTTCTTTTGTGTTTCTTCCATTTGCGAATAATCGCACCAACTGTTGTCACCTTCTCACCAAGCTGTTTGGCAATGGTCTTGTAGCCCATTCCAGCCTTGTGTAGGTCTACAATCTTGTCCCTGACATCTTTGGAGAGCTCTTTGGTCTTGGTGGAGAGTTTGGAATCTGATTGATTGATTGTTTCTGTGGACAGGTG